TCTGCTGTCCTCACCTCTCTCTGCCAGAGAGGCTGCCCATCCCACGCCAACTCTACTGATGTTCCATCAGCTCAGACTCTCTGTGCCAGTGCTAGCCTGAGTCACCCAGATTCCAAATGGTTATAGTATTGTCACTTTATAGTGTCCCGTTTTCGATGACACTCCATGAGATTCAGCCTGCCCGTTGGGCCAGTTACAGTCTTGGCCTGGGTTCTGCCGTTCCCTTCCAGCGCCCCACCCGTGCCTGCACCTGCCATCCACGTCACCCTGGGGGAGCGGAGAGCATGTGAGACTGGGAGTCCGGAGGCTGCGCTGTGAACATACCCAGCTGTGCGGCGCGGGGAAAGCCACTCACCCTCTCTGGTCCATGTGTCCTTTGGTTGCAAAGTGAAGGTTTGACTTTGGTGATTCCTAGAGTCTTTCCATCTCTAATATTCTTTGAGGCCATGTGTTGAACAGCATGAACTTGTGACAATGATAATTAATTATTGTGATCACTGTAATAATAGGTAATTATTGGGCTGGTCCTCTGTTCCAGGCCCTCTTTTCGGTGTCTCAAATGAATGATCTCATGGACTCCTCTAACCAAGCCCATGATATCACAATATTACCCCGTTTCTCAGGTGAGTGCTTTGAGGCAGAGCCATGCTGAGTCGCAGGTTCCCACCTGGCTAGAGGCAAATGGACGCGGGATTTGCGTTGTCATCTTCAGAGTGATTGAATCCTTCTAATGTCTTGGACGCTTGCTCTGTGGAGTGATCCTGAGGAAGTCCTGTGACTTCAGAAGCTCAGCCCCCAACTCATGCTAATGGATGATCCCAGCTGAGTGATTGTTCAGATATCCTTTTAGAATCGAAAGTTTAGATGGCAATGATGATGGTAATGACTATTTGTTACATACTTACTGTATTTTAAACAAATAATATTATTATTGATATAAATAAAAACATGTTAATATTATCCCTTTTCCAATTTTTTTGTGGTGAAATACACTATTATCTTATTTAACCTTCATGGCCGTCCTTCCTGGTAGATGTTGCTGCCCCCATTTTGCAGATGTGAAAACTGAGGTTCAACAAGGTCCCTCAGGGCCAAAGTTACATTCTTGTGCATCTGAGTTGGGGAGTAGGGAAAGCATGTTCTCAAGCCATTTGCCTTCTCAACGCACTTTAAAGGAAACATATGGACATTGTTAAAGATATGATGGAAAGATACGAGACAATTCTATGTGAAAGCAAGACTGCAAGACCCGTAGAGAAGGTAGACACAGATGCTTCACTCTGTCCATCAATCCCATGAACCTCGGCCAGGCTCAGGTGTCCTGCCCACTCCCACTTGCCCCTCTTGGAGGTTGGCCCGGCCTATTTGCAACTTGAACTACAGTGCTGGAGGATACACTCTTTACCTTTATGCCAGGTTAGGCATGGGTAGATGCTTCAAGATGAGCCGGGGTGCCCCCCCATCTCTGTCCAGGGCCCGCAGAGGCTGTGCAGTGGGGCTGGAGGCGGGTGAGGTGAGGGAACTAGCGGTCGCGCAGCCCCGTAAGCACCCCCAGCCTGGCGCCCAAGCCCTCTTCCTGAGACCCCTCTGCATCCCTGAGCCCATTCGTACAATAGTGGGTCCACTGAGGGCCCTGTCCCCTTAGTCAGGCTGTGAGCCAACCCTCTAATGATGGGGCTCTTAGAGCGATGGGAAGGTCACATAGAGCAGGTCCTGGTTGGCACTAAGGCACTAAAATGTCCCCTTGCCCTTTATTTGACTGAGGCTGACCGCAGCCCTGCTGGGGTAGCGCTGCCCCCATGCTTGGGTGTCCAGTCCAACTAGAGGCCATGGGGACCTGGGTTCTAGCCACTGGCATCACTTGTGACAGACTGTTGGCTTTTCCTCCTTGCTGGACCCCTGGGACACAGCTAAGGGGCAAGCGCCCTTCTCTGTCACAGGGTGGGAGTTCGAGTTTCCAGAACAAGGCCTGCCCTACGCCTGCAGAGAAGCTGCGCGGTGTGCGTGGAAGGCTGCATCGCGGGCGCCCTAGGCTTTCTGCGCCCCTCGCCACAATTTTCGCCCTCTCCCATAATATATCAGCGCCAGTTAAAAAAAAAAGATTTCCTCAGACACACCAGGCATCACCTTGAATACACTGTGCAGTGATTGCAGGGTGGGATCCAGGACAGAGTTTGGTGGCTAGAGGCAGGGAGGATGGTAGGGGCTGGGAGGACAGAGGGGCGAGTCCTCCGAGGCCCATCCATAGGAAGGCTTGTCCTTACCATTTACTGAGTACTAAGTGGCAGGCCCTTCATAAATACTTCTAGTCAATCCTCCTGGCTTTTACCAAGTGCTATCACTAGTCTCATTTACTGTTTAGGGAACTGAAGCTTAGGGAGGTTAATCTGAAGGTCACACAGCTGGTAAATGGTGGGTTTGAGCATTGAACACATCTGGTGCCCACTGAAAGTGCATGTTCTTAGTCATTGAGCACCTCCATCATTTCCTCCACAGGCCTGAGCTTCAGGATGGGTGCTGCTTACTGGGGGAACTCTCTTACTGGGAGGTGCTCAGAGACCCCTTCAAGGCCATCACCTGCGGGAGCTGGGGTTGGGGCCTTGGAGGTTTCGGCCAAGAGCGGTCCGGGAGACCTCAGAGCCGGGCTTTGTGTGGGAGATCTGAGCAAACACAGGTGTGGCCTGGCTTCCCCAGGAAGTGAGGCAGGCTGCTTTCAACAGTACTTTTCCTCTTGTGAAAGTGTCTTTTTTTACGAAAGCGGCCTCTTCTTCCTCGCACCCAACGCCCCCCTCCGTGACAGGGTGACAAACGGTGAGGTCCCTCAGCCCCGAGCCACGGCCAGACTGGACCCGAGATCAGCCCTTTGAGTTGCTGGGCAGTCTCGTTCCCCTGAGTCCCCAGGCAGAGGCTGAGCAGGGGCTGGAAGGGAGATGAGGACAAGGTGCCGTGGCAGCACAGGCGGTCGTCAGTGACAAAGCACCGACCCCTAGCCCCACCCCCATGAACGGGCAGCGTGGCGATACCTGGCAGAAGTGCGTGTATGGACAAGTGACAGCTGGGAGAGGATATGGAACTACAAAATAAATTGTTTATTTTAAAGACTTAGAAACTCATATATTTTTTTTACAACGAAATGGAAATAAAAGCCAGTGCTGCCTGTCATCTCCTGCCAGCTTTGAGATGCCCACGCCACAGGGAGGGCACGTGGTAGATTCACTGTCTTGCCCTCCTGCATCCCCTTTCCTCTGAGCTGCCTTCTGCTCCGGGAGGGCCCTTGAGAGCGCTGTCTGGCCCTCACCCTCTGCTAATACCATTCAGCATCACCCACAGGTGCCACTGGATCTTCCGGCCCCTCTTTCTTTTGAATGGGTTCACTTGTTCCTTCATCCAGTTGCCTGGTTTTTACATCCACTAGAATGTTCACAGCCCAGGGCAGGGGTTTTGCCGTTTGGTTCACTGCTGTGTCCCTGACTCTGGGCCCTGGGACTCGAGGGCGAGCACTGGGTCTATCCCAGTCTGGAGGTGTGGAGCCGACAAGTGGACAAGCAAGGACCATGCAGTAGGACATGGGTAATGATGGAGTAGGTGCAGGATGCTGCGGGCTCTGCCCCCAACTCAGACGTGGTGGGCGGCTATCAGGAAGGCTCCCTGGAGGAGGTGGTATATCACTTAGCCTAATCTTGAAAGATGAGTGTCAGTTAGCCAAGCATGACATAGAGGACAATCCAGGCTGATGAGTCAGTATATGTCCCCTACCTACCTCTAGTTTGTGTGCCATTCTCTCCAAAGGCTGCCCCCTCCTCCCCAGCTGTATGGAGCCACGTCGCCCCTTCTTGCTCACAGACTTTCCGGCTCTTGCTTGCAAACCTATGCAGCTGTTACTGTTTCCCAATAATGACTGGTGTGGTGTTATTTCCTTCTCCTGCCCATTCATTGCCACTTCACTTTGGTGTTCCCTGGGGCAAGAGGAAGTAGTAAGTGGTAGTGAAGGTCATGAGTCTGGTTACCTTTCTGGGGAGGAAGGGCATTTCTAGTGCGGCTGCTGCTGCTATGAGGAATAATGTGCTGCTCACCCTTGCACCTTCGAGGGTAGGTGGGAGCAGAGCTGACTGGTGGTGCTGTGGGGGGCTGAACATTGGCTCCTGAGCCCCGATGTAGTTGTGCGTGCCATTTGGTGCAGAGAAGTCTGGAGCTGTTGAAGAATGGGTTGGATGTGAAGCAGGAGAGTGCTTATCTCTCTTTCCCATGGAACGTGACAGCTGGGGAGAGACACTTGCCCAAGTTGTAGATGGGACATGCAAAATCAAAGTGCACACTTTTGTTTGTTGTGGTCTTTTTCCTTGTTAAGCCACCAGGGGGTGCTGTTGGCACAGGACAGCTTGATTAGTGGCATGCCTGATCATCTACTTCATATAGAAGCAGCATTGCAATGTTGCTGCCTTCTTCCCACAGACTAGAACATTCCAACATCGATAGTCTTTCATTTAGCCTCCTCATAGTTCCCTTCTGGAATTCTTCATACTCTTGCAGCTTAAGGTGCCTCCATCCCCCGCCCTAAAGACACAGGCAAACACTTTCTCTCTTTTTTATCCTGACACCATGACTCTGAACTATGTCCCTAACAAAAACGATTAACCCTTTCCCTTAGCTAGCTGCCAGGTGGATGAGGATTTGATAAACCGATTTACCCTATGGTGTTAATACGGCTTGATAAGTTATCTCTGGGGTACTTCTTAAAACTGTGAGGATGGAAACTAAGCCTTATAACCCTAAGAAGTAAATTGCTGGTACTTCTAAATGTGGGTGGGGATGTTTTGGAAGAAGGACCAGAGAGGAGGCGTTGAAAAAGGGTACTGCTTCCTCCGTCCCACTGGTTCCCATCCGTGCCTTATACGGGACAGTCCGGGAGATGGTCAGAGGCACTGAGGCCCCTGTGATGGCCTCAGAGACCACGTGACTTATGGAGAGCCTGACCATTCTCTCTTCCTCCCTTTGCCTAGACGTTCACGGCATGGTGCAACTCCCACCTCCGCAAGGCCGGGACACAGATCGAGAACATCGAAGAGGACTTCCGAGACGGCCTGAAGCTCATGCTGCTGCTGGAGGTCATCTCAGGTGAGATGGACCACTGGCCCTGAGAGCCAGGTGCACAGGGCCCCCTGGCCAGGGGTCTGCCCCTTTGGGAACGCTTCCCTGTCACCTCTGCCGCTGCTCTGCCTTTGGTAACGGCTAGCTTGGGTGACTTTTCTTTCTTTTCTTCTAAATTTATTTTTAGGGAGGGGGCAGCGGGGGAGAAAGAGAAGGTGAGAAACATCAATGTGTGGTTGCGTCTGCCATGCCCCCATCTGGGGACGTGGTTTGCAGGCCAGCACTCAAGCCACTGAGCCACACTAACCAGGGCATAGCTTGGGTGTCTGGAAAGAAGTTGGGGGTGACATGTGAATTCAGGCTGAGGAGACGAGGCAGGCTCTGGTCCTGGCTCTGCTGCAGATCATCTGTGTGTCCTTGAACAAGTCCCTGCCTTTTGCCTCAATATCCTCATTTGCAAAAACAGGGGGCTTGTGAGATGATCTCTGAAGTCCCTTTTCCAAAATGCTAGAGCTCTGTGGCCAAGAATGCAGCCATGGCTGACCACCCTAAACCTTGGCTCCACTGTATCCTCTCTGCCTGTAGCCACAAACGATCCCAGATCCCAGTCCCTTACCTGCCTCCCCCGCCGCCCCGCCCTACCCCACGTCTGATTTGCATGTTTATATAACTGGAAGGGCAGCGTCCCTGGAATGCAACCTCTGCTTTCCTAGGAATACCTTTCCTCCAGTACCTGTTAAAGGTTGGTGGTCCTCAGCATTCTAGCCTTGCTTTATGCTGGGCAGTCCTAGCTGCTCTCTTCACTTTCCCTTCCACATGATGCCAGTGCGTCCCAGGCCTAGTCTCAGCCTAGCCTTCTCTCTCAAGCCCCTTGTTAATTGCTGAACTGCATGGGGCATCTCCACCCAGATGTCCCTGGGCCCGCTCAGTGTATCAGACTGTGCGTACCACTCCTGGCTGCCGCAGACCTTTTTCCTCCTACGGTCTTCATCTTGTTCTCCTAAACCTATTCTAGGAACCCTAGACAGCTCTACCTCTGCTCCACTTTGCAACTTGCCATTCAACTTCCCTACATTCTAGCTCCTTCCTCGTTCTTGTTTTACGTTGGACGCTGTGGTGTCTGTGGGCCTGTGTCAGCTCCCAGACATTGATGCCACAGAGGCCTTCGGCCGCCTCCCACCACAGACAGTCATCTGCACAGATGCAGCCAGAGGGTCCGCGCAGCAGCCCAAATATGGTCAGGCCGTTCCCTGCTGGAACCCTTCGGCGCCTCCCTGGGGCTTTGAGCCTGCAGCCCACATTCCTGAGCAGAGCTTGCAGGATCTTTCGTGAGCTGGCACCTGCTTTGTTTTCAACTAACTCTTCCCAAAAAGGCCTCAGACCTCAGGTCCCCGGCCACACTGGAGACATTCAGTCCTCCCAGATGACATGCTCCCTGCCTCCCAGCGCTCTGTGCTTTTGTACAAGCTCTAGCTGCCTCTTTTTTTTACCCCTAATACTTTTGTCTGTTTATTTCCCTTGCAGGTGAGATCTTTGTATGGGGGGGGGGGGTAATAAAATATACATAGCATAAAATTTACCATTTTGACCATTTTTAAGTGTACAGTTTAGTGGCATTCAGTCCCTTCACGTTGCTGGGCAACGTCGCCACCGTCCAGCTCCAGAACTGAAACTCCGCACTCATGAAATGCCCGGTCCCCTTCCTCCCTCCCCCAGCTCCTGACCACCACTGTTCTCCTTTCTGTCTCTGAGTGTGATTGCTCTAACCACCTCCTGTTCGTGGGATCATGCAGCCTTTATCCTTTTGTGACTGGCTTATTTCCTTTAGCAGAATGTCCTTCAGTTTATCCATGTTGTAGCATGTGTCCGAATTTCCTTCCTTTTTTGTAGGCTGAGTGATAGTCCATCACTCACAAGTGGAATTGCTGGGTGTTATGGTAATTCCATGTTTAAGGTTTGTTTTTTTTTTAATCCTCACTGAAGGACATTTTTTTCATTGCTTTTAGGGTGAGTGAGAGAGAGAAAAATGTTGATTGGTTGCCTCTCATATGTGCTCTGACCAGGGATCAAACCTGCAACCCGGGTACGTGCCCTGACTGGGAATCAAACCCATGACCTTGCAGTCTATGGGACGATGCTCCAACCAGCTGAGCCACCCTGGCCAGGGCTCCGTGTTTAAGTTTTTAGGAACTGCGGTACTGTTTTTCCCAATGACCTTTTAGAGTATCCTTCCCTACTGCCCACCCCCTCAACATTTATTACTTTAAATATTTTCTTAGTTTAAACAAACCAACCAACCTGGTATTTTTCTTTTTATTCATTCTCTAAAACTCAGCTCAGAGATTTCTCCAGGAATTCTCCCCTGACCACCCTCCCCCGGCCCCCGGCCGAGTGACCGCCCTCCTCCGGGCTCCAGTAGCGCCCCATTGAGTCCTTTATCATGTCACTTGCCATGTGGTTCAGTCATTTTGGCTCACTCGGTTCCCACCCTACCCTCCACCCTCCATGCTCCTTGCTGAGCTCCTTGTGGCATGGACATCCTTAACTCTGTCTGAAGTGCTTAGAATTGTACTTGGCATGTAGGTGACACTCAACACATGTCAGAGGGACCAAATGCCCCAAAGTGGACTTTTCTCCAAACGATCAGTGCGTTCTCAGGGAACGGCTGGCTGTGCCCAAGGAGCACCTGCGCACTGCTGTGAAGGGCGCTCGTCTCTTTCCAGAGACATGGGGAGACCCAGTCGCCGAGACCTTGACTTTTCCTCCTTGAGCATCCCCGCAGCTGGGTAGGGTGGCCCGAGAAGGGAGGGGGCGCTGCCTGCAGAAGTCCCCGAAGTGTGGGCCCTGGACCACCCACACCGGGATTCGAAGTCCCACCCCAGACCTCCTAAATCAGACGCAGGAGGCAGGGGGCGGGGCTGGACATCTGCAGTTCGCCTGCTCTCCAGGTGGTTTTGTGCTGACTAAAGTGTGAAAACCGCTGGCCTTGCCGCCTCTCCTGTCCCTTGTGGAGCATGCCTGTTCCAGCTGGTACGCGCAGCGGGTGGGCTGGCTGCGGAGCTCAGGCCCGAGGGCCTGAGGGCTGGGGCAGCCACCTGTGGGGCGGGGGGCACGTGGCACTCTCTGTGCAGCCAGTGGGAGGGAGCCCCTGTGGTTTCTCATCATGTGCTCAGGATGGCGGGCGCCTTGCTGGAGAGGTAGGGCAGTGGCCACAGCCTTGGGAGAGCCACAGGTGGAAAGTCTTGGCTTCCTAGTAACCCAGGGTGTCTCCCTGGCAGCCGGCAGGCCCGGTGACATCTGGGGCAGGAAGCCTGCTCCCGTCCAGAAGCTGGGAGGCCCCCTGGAGACAAGCTGCTCTGACAGGGTGGGCCCGGCCCCTTGAGCTTCTCAGCCAGGCTACTGACAAGCCTGGGCGAGGGGGCTGGTCTGGCCTGGAGACCCTGGCAGGTATGAGGGTCCCGAGTTTCAGGGTTTAGGATGCTGGTTCTGAGCCTTCTGGGCTTTCTGACCCTTAGAGACTCTGAAAGCTGTGTGTCCCTGCCCCAGGTTTGGGCACATGTGCTGCACATAAAAATTTTCCAAATAGTTTCAGGAGGTTTCTGGATGCCTCTGTTCTGGGATAAAAACACTCTTAATGGGGTGTTTGGAGAACCAGGCCCTCTCCCCGTTTCCATGCAGCTTCTGGCCTTGAAACCTGAGCGGCAGAAGCTCCCATGTGGCAGGTGGAGTTGGGGGTGGGGAGGAGCAGCGGCTGAGGGAGAGCGGGGGTTGACTTGGGGCCAAGCCGAGGGCGCCCATGGGAGGCAGTAACGGGACAAGGGTCCTGGTTCTCAAATGAGCGAGGGGTCCTGTGCACGGCTCTATTTAACCCCCTGGGGAACTTTTACAAAATACTCTGGAGAGGCCCACACCCTCTCTCAAGCCCAAACAGTTGAGACTAGGCGGAGTTCAGGGCCTTCGCACGTGCTGTTCCTTCTGCCGTGATCACCGTTCCCTGCCATCTAGACCTGGCTGTTCTCCCTCTCAGAGGCTCTCCCCTGCCTCTGCAGCTTTTCTTCAGGCAACTATGTTAGACCTTTCTCTGTCTTGCTATTTGTATGTCTTTATTTGTGTGTTCTTTTATTGAAGGTCTGCCTCTCCTCCTGGGCCGTAAGTGCACGACTCCTGGCACCCAGCCAAATCCCTGACACACGTTAGAGGCTTCAGACAGAATTGTTGGGTGACTGCAAGCAGTTGGGTCTAGGATGTGGAAGAGGGAAGAGCCGTGGTAGGCGCTCCCCGACGTAGCTGGCCAGGGTGGCATCCGGCCGCACCCAAGGAGCAGGAGCGTGCATCCGCCTGTGATGTGCCTTGGCTGAGGGTGTCGTGGGAGCAGCCCCGGCTCAGGGATGATAGCACCTCACCTCACGTCTCCTCTCCCCTCTCGGTCTGTGTGCAGGTGAACGTCTGGCCAAGCCGGAGAGAGGCAAGATGAGGGTGCACAAGATCTCCAATGTCAACAAGGCCCTGGACTTCATAGCCAGCAAGGGGGTCAAGCTGGTGTCCATTGGAGCTGAAGGTGAGGAAGGCCTGCCCGCTGCCTGCTGCCTCGGGGCCTGAGTTTCTGCTTTCCTAGTCCCCTGGGTCTTTTCTACCCTGACTCCTGGGCCCTCACATCCCTGGGGGCATTTGGAAGTGGGGTTCCCAGCACCTCCATCTGGTCCGCCCCGTGGATTCTTCATGTAACAGCAGTACCTTCCATCCAACCCCAGCCTCCTCCACCCATCAGCCCCGCCCCTGGAAAACCAGGGCCCACTCCCTGCTCCACACTGCGACACCCCTCAGCCAGTCCCAATGCTGCAAACCCTGCATGTGTGCAACGCTGCCTCCCTGATCCGCAGGCCTGGCTGCGCTTTGCTGCCCAAAGTGGAGAATTCTGTGGTCGGGGGAGAGGGCGCAGACACTGGGGGATGGAGGCGAAGGCTGCCCTGAGGCCCCACAGAGGCCTGTGAAGGCCGATGGCCACAAGCCTTTAGGAGCATTCTTAGTAGTGTTAAGCGCATCTTGGCTCTGCTTCCTTCACTTAAAACATTTTTTTAAAGCTCAGCTTAAACCATTATTATTAGCACGTCCTTCACGGTTAAAAGGCAGTAGCACTGCTTCTGTGTACACTGTGGTGGCTCTGAAGGCCTGCGGGGCGGATCGGGGCAATCAGAAGAGACTGCCATAACCAGGCCCCGTCAGGACTGTGTCCCGTGGTCTCAGCAAGCATGTGCTGGGCGCCTGCTGTGTGCACCAGAGGTCGCAAGGTGAGGAAGCTATAGTCTCCATTCGTTCGTTTGTTCGTTCATTCATTCTTGATGGAACCATGACTGTGGTTAGCAAGTTCTCCCCTGTGTGTGGCAGGCGCTGCGCACCAGTGGTCTCATGTAATCCTCACAGCATCCCTAGGAGGTGGCTCTCATTACTATTTCCATTTCACAAAAAGAAAACAGATGCTGGACTAGATGAAGTAACTTGCTCAAGGTCACATCCTAAGTGGCAAAGCCAGAACTCAAATCCGTCTGCGTGACACCAGAGCAGTGCCCCTGCAGAGTGGCCTTCCTTGAGGAGGATGGGGCCCTGCCTCAGTGAGTCTGTAGGAGCAGGTCTCTTCTCTGGTGGATGACTGTAAGGTGCCCCTCTTCTTTTTTTTCCTAGACGTTGAGGGATTTTATGTTGCTACATCCAATGGAGAGAGCCTTTAGCACCCGCATCTGCAAACTGCAGTCCTCCGGGTCAAAGCTGGCTGCCACGGGTTTTTGTAAATACTGGCACTCAGCCATGTCGTTTGTTTACATATTGTCCTCGCTGCTTTCCTGCTAAGGGGGCAGAGTTGAATAGCTGCAACAGGGACTGTACGGTCTATTAAGCCAAAAATATTTCCTATCAGGCCCTTTGCAGAAAAAGTTTGCTGACTCCTGCCTTATTGGGGGTGTGGGTTCCTTGAGGGCAGCACAGGCTTGGCGTGCTGTCAGCTGGGAGGCGGAGACCACGTCTTCTACCCGCTTGTGGCCCCAGCTCCTAGCAGCGTGGGCCACGTAGTAGGTGCTCAGTAAATGTTTGGAGGACTTGCACGTAGCAGGGTAATTTGCCTGGTGAGTAGGAAGATGGGCTCTGCCTCCTGATGAGAAGAAAAGAATACGTGGTGCTAATAGGGAAGAATAAAGACTTGGCAGGAAAAGTTTCAACTAGGCAGGGAGGGGAAGCCAAAGGAATTGCTGCTCAGGTCTGGTGGGAGCTCAGATGCCCCGTGGGCAGGGAAGCAAAGGATGTGTGAGGTGGGGATGGGTGGGAGCTGCTGAGAGCTGGGGACAGCACATCCTGTAGGCGGGGCAGCTGCCACCTAGACGTAACCCATTGCTGCTGTGTGGGAATACAGGTCCAGCGCTGCTGCATCTTCCATTTTTTCTTTGGAAAATTATTTTAAAGATTTTATTTATTTACTTTTAGAGAGAAGGGGAGGGAGAAAGAGAGGGAGAGCGACCCAGGCTTGTGCCCTGACCAGGAATTGAGCTGGCGACCTTTCTGTTTGCGGGATGACACCCAACCCACGGAGCTACCCCAGTCAGGGCCTCCCCCCGCCCCCAAAAGAAGCCAGAAATCCAGTTTTTAGAAAGGAAGATTAAACTAAGAAAAATAATATTTTTAAGACGTTGAGCACCAAAGGGTGCACGGAGAGAGTAGCATTTGCTGAGTTGCAGATGTGTGCCTGGCAAGACAGGATGCTTCATTCACATGGTTTTTCCCTTCTCCTGTGAGCAGACCTGTAGAGTGAGTACTACCAGCCACATTCTCAATCAAGGAAACTGAGACTCAGAAAAGTTGCTGGAGTGGAAGCGCGTGGTGCGGTCACACAGAGGCTCTGGGCCAGACTACCAGCACCCCAGACACTGCTGCCTCCTCCACAGGGGTGCGGGAAAGGACTTCTGTGTGCCGTCTTCCTCAGCAGCTGTGACGTGGCGGGTCAGGCTGGCTGTGCTAGCCTCTGCAGGGGGGTGAGGACCAACAACACAAACTCTAACCACCACCTCTGATCTTTGGGAAGCCCCTGAGCCTTGGTGGCTGAGGTTTTCCAGTTCCTTTCACAAAAGCCTCGGTTCTCCAAAGATTTCAAAGCCTCCTTTAAAGTGAGGGAGCCCTCACCGCCTCACTACGCTGGGGAGCCAGTGCTTTCAGCTGAGGCTTCCTGCTTTGAAACCCTCTCTCGTTTCAAGCTGAGCACGAGGATCCTGCCAGGATGGCCGCACTGCTGAGCCAGGGAGCGAGATCAGCTCCAAATGGGTTTTGTGTGTTTTAATGAAATGGACTTCACTGCTGTCGACTGTAAAATATAAGGCAGTGGAGCAGATCCCTGTAGCGAGCTCTCCTGGGGGATGGAGTGGAGCAGCCATTGCTGGTTGTCCTCACTGAGGAGCATCTTATGCTGTGGGGACCAGGCCTGGCAGGGGCAAGAGACCCCAGACCTTCGAAGGATTGTCACTTGGTGCAAGAACTAGATCCTGGTCGACCCTGAAGTGCAGGACCAGGCCCGGAAGGGAGACTAATGGGCAAGGATTGGGGGGTCAGGCAGAACCTTTGGGAAGGGACTGGGCGCTCTGGGAAGGCCATACGTTCCCTGTCCCCGAAGATGTGCAGATGGAGGCTGGAGGCAGCTTCAGCAGGGGGTTAATGTAGACTCCTCAGATTTCTTGTGCAATCCTCAATTCTAAAATTTCTAGAGCCATGGGATCGGGGCTTGACCTGTGTGAGTGGTTGAGATTTAACCAGGGGAGAGGACCCAAGCAGGATTTTTATTTATTTATGTTTTCTGGCTCTTCAGGCAGGGAAAGTGTGATGGCTGTGGGTGCCAAGCGCTTGGCAGTGGTGGAGGTGATTTCGCGTCTGTCCTTAGGATGGCAGGGTGGTGGGTGCCGTAGGCATAGCATTGGTCTCAGAGGTGGTGACTCCGGGGGTCTAGTTTCTGTCCTGTGGGACCCCCTCAGTATTGTTCATTCTGCCGCCTGAATACTGCACAGATGACCGGACCCCAGGGGGCTGAGTGTGGGGAAGGTAGAGGCAGGTTTCAGTAAACCCAGGATGTGAGCGGCTTCACAGTGCCTGTAGACCAAAAATGGCAGAAACACGCCTCCACGTCTTCCCACGCCCGTGGCAGATGTCATTGCTCTGTCATCGTGGTTTTTCCTATAGGGCCCAATGGTGGCCTTGGGACCCTCCTCTTGGACCCAGCATTCCTGGCAGCCTCCTGACATAAAGCTTCCTGTGAGGTGGGGCGTCCCCGCCCCAAACACAGGGCTGCCTGGGTCACACGCCGAGGGTGGATGGGAGTCAGGTGGGCGCTGTGGCTGGGGGCGCGCAGGGTGTTCACTGAACACACCCATCTCTTTGCCTGTACTTGGCTCCTCCATTTTCTGGAGTGAAACTGCCTCTTTGGTATGAGTGTGCTTTCAGTAAGGAAAAATCCCGGGGCGGGGCGGGGGCGGTTTCTGGGGAAGATGTTGAGGAGGAGGTAGGCAAGACCCAGGAACGAAGCTGCCTTGTCTTCACTAGTGCTGGGAGGTCGCCGAGCCCAGGGCCAGTGGGAAGCCCGGGTATGTGGCCTTTACAAGTGGGGCAGCATGTGGAGGTGGGGCACGGGGTGGGGGACTCGGGGTGGGGAGGGGCTGGCACTGCAGCCTGCGCTCCTGGGAAGGCCAAGAGGCGGCATCGTTACCACGGGCGCTTTTTCTAATCTTTAAACACATTTCCCCTTGTATTCAAAACGCTGTTCATAAAATTTTGTGGCTGCTTTTTCTACTTTCTGTATTAGTGTAAAAGGATTTTTCCCCAGGTCATTGAAAACTTGTGACTGTAACTTTAATGCCTGTGTTACTCATCTGTTTGCCGGGCACTGTTGTGCTCTGTCCCAGACCTGAGTCCTTCCTATGGTCCCCCAGGGCCGACAGGCCTGCATTAGCCCCGCTCGTTCACCCACGCGTGATCCATGTCCTCCAGTGTTCATTCATTCATTTGCTCGTTCATTTGTTCGCTCGTTCATTCGTTCGGCAGATGTTGATGGAGGGCTTTCTCCGTGCCAGGGCTGGGCTCTGAGCACTGATGTGAACCAGAAAAAATCACTGCCTTCCTGGGGCTGAGGTTCTGGAAGGAGAGAGAGAAAGCACACACATGCCTATGTCAGATGGAGAAAAATACAGAGAGGAGAGTAAAGTGGGTGGTCAAGGGAGGACTCGGTGAGAAGGCGAAGGGTGAGTGGAGATCATGGGAGGGAGTCGAGGGACCAGCCACACGGGTACCCAGGCAGGGGCGAGCTGTGGCTGGAGGGCGCGGTGGGAGGGGAGGCCGAGGGGTTCAGCCGGCTGCCGGCCTGGAACCTGAGTGAGGGGAAGCCAGGGAGGTTTGGAGCCGAGAGGTGATGGGGTCTAGGGATTTACTCAGTGACACCTTGTGCTTTGGGCCTTCGCATGGCTTCCAGTTTGGGGCCATGACAGATAACCTCCCAGCAAACATCTTTATACAACAGCCTTGTTCTACATTTCACTTCTTTGACCAGGGATAGATTCCGAGAGGTAGAACTCGACTCTCAGAAAGTTAAACAGCTTTAAGATGCTTGTTTCTTTTGCCAAATTATTTCCCAGAAAGGTTTTTTTTTTTTTTTAAAGCCAATGTCCAATTCTAGCCACAGTGTGATAGCTTGTTGTCATCAAGGTGTTTGTTTATTTGTTTGAAATATAAGTAAGATTGAACATCCTATAAATGGGTTATTTCTATTTCATGTTTCATGAAGTATCTATTTCATGTTTTGTGAAGTATTTCATGTTTCATGAAGTTTCTATTCATCTTATTGCCTATTTATGTATCTTATTGTGAATTTAGGCTTTTTTCTTATCAATTTATAGATACTTTAAATGTTACAGATGTGAAACCATTACAAGTTGGAAATGAAAGGGCACTTAAAAAAATCTCAAACCTGTGTGAACTGAATCTTAACTGACTCGACCGTGGCCCCCACTCCCCGCACTCTGCAAAGAGCTGGCCGGCTGTGGTACTTGTTCAGGAAGGTGGTCGCTTGCTGCTGCAGCTCCCTGTATCTCTTTCCCAGGCCCTCCGACTCAGGTCTGGGCCCTGCCGGTGTCTGAGGTGCTGGCAGGAGCATTTAAGCCCCACTGTGAGCAGGAAGAGTTACATCCTGTCCCGAAGTGGTCACTTGCCCCTTCTTTGCTCAGCGCCCCTGGTGCAGGCTCAGCAGAGTTGCCCCCCGCCCCAAGCAGCAGCAGGGATGCCCTGTGCCTCGTTGGTGACACCGCAGTCGGCAGTTTTACTCTCTGTTCTAAGGAAGGGAATGAGATCTTCGAGTGAAATTTCCTTAATGGAATCCACTCTTGTTGAAGGGGTTTGTAGGATGCAAACTCTAGTGGATGTGGGCTCAGGGAAGCAGGAGTCCCAGAAGTTGTCCCTTCTCAGGATTCTCTGGCGTTTCCCCAAACAACCAGTGCAGCAGGTAGAAAAAAAAATAAGATATTCTTTGGGTGTCTCACTCTTTCACTGAGAGAACCTTTACCACGGGGCCAGGGTACAGTCTCCTCGTCTGGAAGCGGGTGAGGCATCTACATTTGTCCCCTGCTCAGCCCCCAAGACCACACCTGGTTCCATGCGTTAGGCTCTCTGACACAGGGCTTTTCTATGTTTGTATTGCCAGGCATAGAAAAAAATTACCTGAGCGGCTGTAAGCTGCTGCTTACTGAGATTCACTGTAAGCGGCTGCTTACACTGAATCTCGTAGTTGTGATCTCGAAGCTGTTTGATTTTTTAATTAAAAGATACCCAGTCAATGGCATTATGAGGCTGGTGTGGGAGTTAGTGGCTCCTTCAGGATGGTTGGTTAGGTTGGCTGCTGTCTGTAGCCTGCTCGGGCATGACGCGTATGGATGGCTGTTTGGACAGCTGCGATGGCCCGGAGGTCCTTAGCTCAGAGTTGCCAGAACATCTGCGATGGCTTAGGAATCCTCCTGTTCTTTGTCAGGCTGGGGAGCTCTGCTCAGGGTTTAAGACACTTCCTTCTCTGTCGCCTTTCCTGATGTCCTCAGTAGAATCGCCCACACCCAACGTTTACCCCCCAGGACACCCCTCGTCTGCCACCTTGTGCCTCCAGGACACCCCCAGATCTTGTCACTGAGTGAAATTTAATTGCATTAACTTTAAAAAATACACTGACCTCCTTCCAGAAGTGGAACAGTGTGGTCTTTGGTTCCCCCCATGGTGTACCAAGCGACGGGCGGCTCAGGGAATGTTAACTCTGCCCCTTTAAGACCTATCCCGCTGCTGTTTTTGTAGAAATCGTGGATGGGAATGTGAAAATGACCCTGGGCATGATCTGGACCATCATCCTCCGCTTTGCCATCCAGGACATCTCTGTGGAAGGTAAGTCTTCTTTCTTTCTCTCTGTTCAGTGACGTCCCCGAGCCCCCACCTCTCTGTGCCTCCACTGTCACGTTTTCCTCCCTGGATTCAGCCTGGAGAGCTCTCTGACCTGGGCAGTAGGCATGATTAAGGGCCACATCCTGAGCTTCTGACCCACTTCTGGCACCTGTCCTTTTTCATAGTCTGTGGGGAAGTAACTGTTTGGGGTGCTGGTTCCCACAGGTGCTTTGGTCCTAGGGAAATTCTCCACTTTGAGAAAGCCCAAGGTTGCCGTGGGAAAGTGTATTGGAATTGGATTGTTGGATTGTTAGATCTTGAAAAGGTAGAGGAATGGCAGGCAGGAGGGCTTACTGGGCTGAAGAACCGATCCCAGGTCTTCCCCTCTGTTCCCACAGCACCCTCTGGTGGCCACTTTGCAGACCTGCAAGGGGCCACCACAGGTCTGTAAGTTCTCTCTCTAAGCTTTTGGTTCCACACTCCAGATGATATGTGGGTTTAATTTGTCATAATTTATATTTATGTATTTCCATGCATATTACAAAACACAAAAACAAATTTTTAAAAAGATGTAAATAATAATACTTTTAACTCATTGTAATGGAATCTTGGGCTTTTTAATTCATTGTAATGGAAACTTGAAAGAAATCTTGAAAAGATTTTTGTTCAAAGTAACTTTGTAATGAGAACAATGTGGATTAAATTGCTTTTTTATGGAAATCTTGGCTTGACACTTAGTAATTACAACGAGTTGGGATCTAAATTTGGTTTATAAATACTTAGTATTTAGGGTGGAAGTGGTTAAAAAGATGCTTGTAGTAGTCACTTAGGGCATGGTTCTTGTTAGTGATGGTAGATATAAACCCCTTTTTCAGATAGCCTCCTTGGCGAGTTTGATTCTTTTGGGCAGACTTCTTGCCAGCATTGATTAAATAGTTATTGTTTTAATCTTGTAATATAGCTGACAAAGAGCTTGAACTAAGAGTAGAAACACTAGCTTTGCTAATTTTTTAAGTGGTTTGCGCTTGAATGATATTATCTTTATGTAGGAATCTTTTAAGGTCACTTTAAAGACCATATTGTGAATTGAAAGTAAATGAGGTCATCCAGGAAGCTGCTCACTGGGAACTATAACCTGCAATTCACAGATGTTAACACATGGGGGCAGTGTGGCTGGCAGCCCTCCTGTCCTGGGAGTCCCGTGGGGTCCCCTCAAGTACCTACCGGCCTTATCCAATAGACATGTGTCCACTTCACACAATCCAATGCTGTTGGTCCATGCATCAAATATAAGGAAACCTTTTTTTTTTTTAGGGTGAACACTAAATCCGAATTGGAGTCCTTATGATTTCTTCCCACATGGCTATGTGCACACCCCAGGCAGAGCACAGGTGTCCTTGCCTAGAGATTCCTGGATTTTCAATTTCACAGACCAATCAAACCTTTCTCCCCAAAGTGGCCACTTGACATAAGTCGCCACCTTATTTTGTACTGTTACCATTTCTTGAATAAAAGGGAGTGTCAGGGAGATAGTCTGAAAGGCCATTACCTCAGCATTTTGGTGCGTGATGCAGCTGGCTCTGAAAAGCTTCCTGGCTTGTTTCTATGTCAGGTGAATTCTCAGTCTTTGTCAAGGAAATAGACTTCATGGCCTGGTAGCAGCAGGTTGGAATCTAGGGGTCTTTGTGTGAACCCCCTGTGTGAGATAGCATGGACCCTGAGGTCAAAGTGGAGCCTCCCATGAGTCAACGGCCCTCCTTCCACTGAAACAGCCCACTGACCTCTCTGCCTGTTATTCCCTTCCCCACAGAGACTTCAGCAAAGGAGGGGCTCCTCTTGTGGTGTCAGAGAAAGACGGCCCCTTACAAAAACGTCAACATCCAGAACTTCCACATAAGGTGAGTGACTGGGAGCTGAGGGGCTCCTACAGGACGGTGGGGCCCTGCAGGCCCCTTGGCGGGGCCCGTCTCAGCTCTAGAACAGAGCAGAGGCCCTTAGGGAAGAAGTCACTTTTCATGGGAGGGGAGTGCCGCCAACCCTTTGGTGTCCCCTGTCTCTCCCAGTGGTGTCTCAGCTACTGCCTCATACACTTTGGTTGTGCTAGGGCTACTCGGGAGCTCCCCAGAGAGAGTGTCGGGGAAGGTCCAGCCTTGGGCTCCGGAACAGAGCAGGCCGGGCCCTGGCTGTGGTGGAAGGCAGCGTGGGATCGACTTGCCAAGCCCCTCAGAGTGTTGACCCCAGTATCTGGGACTGTGGCAGACAGATAAGTTCCTGCCCATCCGGTCCTCTCCTGGCTCCCGCTCCGAAGGGTTATGGATCCATCTAAAGGGAAAAGGAGACCAACGCCTGCTTAGCGCTTTCCCCGTAGTTAGTGCTTGGCCCCGCTCACCAGCTTGCCTCACCTGTTCTCTTCCCCGGGCAGCTGGAAGGACGGCCTTGGCTTCTGTGCCTTGATCCACCGACACCGGCCTGAACTGATTGACTACGGGAAGCTGCGAAAGGTACGTGCGCTCACCTGACTGCCCACTGGCAGCTCCTGGCCACTTGTCCCCGGGGGGGGCGGGGGGGGGCAGGGTGGGGCAGGCCTGGGCCCCTGTTCTGAGAGCCTGTGGTCCAGCCTGAGGGGAGCCCGTCTCCATCGGTTAGCCCAGAAGACAGCCTGTTTAGAAGTCAGATGAAAATACCTTCACTGTTCGGGCTACCTCAGCGCCATATGTGCACAGCATGTGTGTGCTTGCCCACACTCACAGCCCACAGAAAAATATGAGAGCCACCGCAGCAGTCCTGTGAGGGTGACGGCATAAGTGGGGTTTTTCTGTTCCCATTTTCTGGGTTTTATTAGGTGGATCTGTTACTGTCATAATTTAAAATATTGCATAGTCATGGATGCATTTATCCCAGCTGTGTCTGAGACTCAGCTTTGTTTTCATTTATATTTTGTCATGAAGCCATGAAGCTCTTGGGGGATTTTCTGGAGAGAGAGAGAGAGAGAGAGAGAGAGAGAGAGAGAGAGTGTTGAGCAGGAGACCAGGAAGCGGGAGCTAGGTTATACCCTCATGTTGGTTCTTAGCGTTGGGGCTGGTTAAAGGATGCTGGCCCAGACCTTGGAGACTGTACTCAGCCCACCTCCCCTCTCAGTCCCTCCTGTGCCTCGGCCACGTGGCACAGGCACCTCAGGAGAGGCCACCCCTGAAGCCCTCCCCGTGCGCCCTGCTGACCTACAGCTCGGGTTGGATGGTTGCTGGTCTGTGCCCTAGTCTCTTGGCTGGGCAGCTCCTAGGAATGACTATTCTTGTATTCTCCACTTGACCTTGACTTCGGGAGAGCACAGTGTTTGGTGAGGAGCCCCCCTACCCTGAGCCCCCACGACGGGCCTCTGCTGCTCCTCAGTGGCCAAGCAAGCCTGAATGTCGCTGGTGCGGGAGCCGCCCTGGCCACTCCTGGTAGCATCAGGCCCCCTGTTTCCAGGGTGTGCGGGAGGGAGCTGCTAAAGAGGGTTTGTGAGGGAGGAAGGAGCAGGCTCCTGTCCCCGCTGGGCATCCCAAGCTGTCCGAGGCATGGGGCTCGGGCCCCTGCCACCCTGGAAGGGCCCAGTCTCGGGGGCGGAGGTGCCTGCTGCCTGACCCTGCACATGGCTGTGCCCAGGTGGGCAGACAGGGGCAGCCCGTCCCAGGCTGGTCCCCTGTGGATGAGACGCCTTCAGAGTGATACGGCCTAACACGTCTGTGGTGACTCCAAGCTAGTCTTTTAGCGGGTAGGAGGGTCCCAGCCCTCCCACTCAGCAGCTTTGGGAAAAAAGTCAGTGTGAAAACTCCCAGAACCACCTGAAAGCTGTGTGGCCAAATCAAGCAGTGCAGAGGACAGAAATCCTAGAGGGGGCAATTTTTTCTTTTAAAGACCCCATCATGCACCTCCTGACGGTTCACACAGTTCAGCTGCTGCCCTTTGGCGACAGGTGTGCCTGTGCCTGTGTCCCTCTGTGGCTGTGCTGGGGCGGCCCCAGCCAGCTAATCCACAGCTGTTCCCCACCCCCATACCCAACGGGGTAGGGTTGGCTGGGGCTGGGCAGTCCCTCCACCCATCAGGCCCCAGGCCCCAGGCACCTCCGCTATTTGTGAGTTAGGAGTGCAGTGGCCTTTGTCTGATATGTGGACAGCTCTGACCCCACCCTCTGTCCCTCTCTTTGTCTTTTCATTTCTCTCTGTTTCACTTGTCTGTCTCCCACTCTCTTTGATTCAGTGGCATCAATACAATCCAGCCCAGTCCTGGCTGGGTGGCTTAATGAGGGGAACATTGTTCCACACACCAAAAGGATGTGGGTTTGATTCCGGGTCAGGGCTCAGCCCTAGGCTGTGGGATTTGGCTCCCTGTTGGGGTGTGCATGGGAGGCAACCAATCAGTGTTTCTCCCTTTCTTTCCCTCTTCCTCTCTCTCTAAAATCAATAAAAGGTCATGTCCTCGGGTGAGGATTAAAAATAAATAAATAAAATCCAGCCCAAATCCTAGCACAGACCTGGTCCCACTGAACCATGGATGGATACTTTCCAGAAAGCACAGAGTGCCAGGGCCTCGGGGCTTGGACCCGGAAAGAGCTGAGGGGCTCTGACCGGGAGGCTCTTCCTTCCCTCTCCAGCCCTTGGTGGGCGTTGGGGCCTGACAGACCCTGAGAGTGGAGCGGGGCAGGAGGGTCTGTGCCCCTGGCCTGAGGACTGTGAAGGCCCTGGATGGAAATTACCTTCACTTCTTGGCAGCATTTTTCATCATTCTGGAAGCTGTTGGAGACTTTCCCAGAAGGGCTCCATCTTCTCTGTTTTGAGCAGTTTCTTCCTGAAAGCATCCAAATGAATGTATTTCGTGTTTGGTACCTTGTGAGTCTCACCTTAGCACATGGGGAAACTAAGTCCTAGGATGACGAAACCAGCTTGCTTTAGATTATTCTGGAGAACCAAGAATAGAATGGACGGTCTTATAAGGAACTTCCCCCATGAAGTTATGGGGTTTTTTCCACGTAAAAAGTTTTTTTAAATTGTGGTAAAGTATGTGTAACGTAAAATTCACCGTTGTAGCAACTTTGAAGCGAACGGGTCGGCAGCATCGCGAGCATTCACGTTGGTCTGCCTCCATCACTGCCCGCCATCTCAGACCTCTTCCCGTCTTGCAAAACTGAGTCATATGGTGATTCTATATTTAGTTTTTTGAAGAACCTCCATACTGTTTTCTGCAGCAGCTGCACTGGTTTACTGTCCCACCAACAGAGCACAAGAGTTCTAGTCCCTCTGCATCCTTGCCAACACCAAATAAGTTTCCTTGAGAAAGCAGCAGAAATCAGAATAGTCAGAAGGCTGTGGCTATTTGTGGGAGCCCCAGAATTTCATGGACGGTGAGCTCCAGAGCAGTGGGAGAGCTCCTTGTCCGACCCTTCAGTAACAGAGGGGGAAGCTGAGGTCAGGATACTTGCCAGCCTTGCTCACTGGTAGCAGAGCTGAAACCAGGAGCTAAGACCGAAGGCACCCAGGCCAGTGCACTGCTCTCATGCTCACTTCGTAGTGATTCTTTCTTGGGCTACAGGCCAGTGTTCTTTTTTATTTTATTTTTTTATAGAGAGAGGGGAAAGGAGGGAGAAAGAGAAAAGAAGAGAAACGTCAGTGTGTGGTTGCCTTTCATGCGCCCCCTACTGGGGACCTGGCCTGCAACCCAGGCATGTGTCCTGACCAGGAATCAAACCGGTAACCTTTTGGTGTGCAGGCTAGTACTCAGTCTACTGAGCCACACCAGCCAGGGCCAGGCCAGCATTCTTTACCCCATTTTTCTGACAAAGAAACAGGCTTGAGGACGAAAGGTGACATTTTAAACCCCCCAGCCAGTGAGCCCGGGCAGCGAGGCTAGCCTTCTACATCCGGGGCTGGCTCCTGTGGGCCTACCGTGGGAAGGGCTGTAGTAATCCCGTCTGCTCCCAAGAATTGGTGATCGCCCACATGGGGGTAGCCAATGTCTTGTCATACCTCTCATTCTCTAACCCCTTCCTCTTCTCCTTCTAGGATGATCCTCTCACAAATCTGAACACGGCCTTCGATGTGGCAGAGAAGTATCTGGACATCCCCAAGATGTTGGATGCCGAAGGTAAAGGCGCTTTCTTTCTGGGCCTCCAACTCTTCTCCCACCTGCCACCCAGTGGCCAAGAAGTGGGAAGGGAGAAGGCCTGGTCTGTGGGACCTCGTTTGGGAGGTCTTGAGGTCCCCTGCCTCCAGGGGTTCCACAGTTCCCTGAGGCTTGGAGGGAGAGGTGAGAGCTGGTGCTGAAAAGTGCTTGGAGGCTGTTTCTTCACCGACTGACTGAGGACGGTTCTTGCCTTTTTCTTGGAGTCAGGTAGCGGGTGCTGGGGTAGAACATCGTGTTCTTTTATAGTAGGGGAAGGAAGAAAACCTTTTCTCTTTTGCCCTGCTCAGTTCTCCAGCTGGGGCCCTGTCAATGAGACTGACAAAGTCAGATGAACAAGAGAGGGGCGAACAAATTTATTAATACATACATTGCACACACACGGGAGTCTGCAGGGAGGAGTAACCCAAGGGTGGTCTGTATATACACCTAACTTCATAAGGGATGGTGAGGGGGAGACCGGGCACTTACAAAAAAGCAGATGGGTTTTCGGAAAGATGAATGGCCCCTTTAGAGACTAGATGGGAAATGTGATTGTTTTTGGCAGTATCTGTCTCGGGGGGGCCGTTTTCAAATAGAGACAAAGAGCAGAGACAAATATAATGAATTTCCCTATAGCCATCATCCAGATATAACAGTTACTGAGATTTTTTCTTATTTTTTTTCCTTTCCCTCTTTTGTTTTCTTTGTTGAAATGTTTTAAAGCAAATTCCAGACATCATAGCATTTCACTGCTACATACATCAGGCTATATGCCTTTAAAATATGGATATTTTCTTAGGCAGCCATAAAGCAATGTTCACACTTCACAAATTGCCAGTGAGTCCTCGATACATCCACTGTGGTTTAAGTCAGGATCCAACCAAAATCTACACGTGGCATTTAATCATTACATTTCTCCTGCCCCTTTTATTTCTACAACTGAACTTGTCGCAGTCACTGGGCCAGCTGCCCCGTGGAACGGTTCTTGTTCTGGGCTTGCGTGTCCGCCTCCTCGGGGCACCACTTCAGTCCTCTGCCTTCCTGTTCCCATAAAGTGCAAGTTGATGCAGAAGCAGGTTAGGTTCGGGCTCAGCATTTTGGCAGGAAGACTTGGAGCATCCCAGTGGGAGGTGTGTCGTGTGGTCACCAGCTGCCTTTAACTCCAGGTTTTTCTCGACAGACATCGTCGGCACCGCCCGCCCAGATGAGAAAGCCATTATGACTTACGTGTCCAGCTTCTACCATGCCTTCTCTGGCGCCCAGAAGGTACCGGGGACCCTGCTCCTTCCTTGCCCCGCACACGTCATACCAGACCCCAGACCATGCCCTCCCACCCTCCCCCTGCCTCTCCTGGTGACAGGGTCTGGATGCTCTGTCTCTTTGGTAGAGTGAGCCCTTGGTGCCCAGGGGGCGTGTTCTTGCTCAGCCTTCTCCGCCCCGCACCTCTGCTCTTTCTCTCATCGTCCTCTGCTCTCTGAGAAAACTGGGCAAGAGCTCACCTTCTGGGACCCAGACAGCTGCTTTAAGCAGGAAGGGCTGTGTGGGTGGAATCAGCCGGGGTGGCTCTGGAAGGCACCGTGGGCAGCGTGCCCCGGACCCACCTCTGTTGGAGCTACAGGCTTTATCAGAGCCGCAGGACTTCCTGGGAGGCAGATCTGGGGAGCTGTCTCCTGTCGCCACTGACTGATTTTGCAGAGGTGTCAGGAAGTCCCCCTTTCTCTCGCCCATGGTCCTGATTTAGCAGGTCAAAGCTCCGCTGGGCTTTGGTGCTTTCTCCTGTACCCTGTGTGGGACCCCCACATGGGGTCACTCTGCACTCTGTGTTCCTGGACATGAACACAACTTCTTGGAGGGAAGAAGGGCGGGGGTGGGCAGCTGTGAGCCCCTTTATGGTCCTGGCCCAGTTTTGCTGCGGGAGGCCTGAGGTTAAGGTCCAGCTGAGGCTGTTCCGCACTGGGCAAGGGTAGTGTGACTACAGGGCAGCATCCACCCTGCAGACATGGAAGATTTTCCTGTTCTCTTTACCAAGTTAGCACAGGCAGCAGACAGCCCTCTCCCAGGTTCCCTCACAGGCAGGACCTCAGGAGCACGGCATCCAGGTTGCCACGGACACAGGACCCCAGGCTTGGCCTTCATGGCTTTGGGTCATGGACCTGTCACGTGCCCAGGCAAATTTCCCCTCCTCGGCACGGTGTCTGAGTGGTCTGCCTTGACATGCCTGAAGGGGGCGCTCTCCCCATTGCCCCCCCTCTGCCCAGCCTTCCCCAATGCTCGCTCTCCCTTTTCTCAGCCTGTGCGCTCTCCCACCCCACCCCCTTTCTCCTCCCACCATCTCATTTGTCCCTCTTTCTGCCCATTCCCTCACTTCTGTCTGTCTGTCTGGTGTTCTTTCTGTCCATTGTGGCTGTTTTGGTTTATTCTGTGCCGCTGCTGCTGCCCACTTTCTCCTCTCAACCTCTTCTCCTTCTCTGTGCAGATGTGTAGGCACGCTAAGGCGGGATGGGAAGGCCATGTGACCTAATGTTTCATGTCACTGCCACGCCTTCTCGGGTGTGCGGAAGGTGAGCTCTCCCTCAGCCTCGCCCACTCTCCCTGCCGCCCTCTGCCCACCTCCTCCTCCTCCCTGGATGCACTGGTGCAGCCTCTTGGGGCTGCAGCCTCGAATGAAAGGAGTGATTGGAGGAGCCGCCTCCCTCAGGGCACTTGAAGGTGCCAGAGAACTGTAGCCCTTGGATGGCCTCCTGCCCCCAGGCATAGTGGGTGTCTAACCTGAAGGAAGCTTGTGGTTCCAGCCCCTTTCCTGGATAAGAGCCCTGTCCCAAGCAGGACGGCTCTTGGCTATGGTTCCTGACTATTTCCGTAAATATCCAGGCCCCTGCTACCTCTCCTTCCTTCCCACGTACGTAACACTGTCCTCTCAAATAATCCAGCAGACAGGGCAGAGAGGAGTCTCCCTGCCCCCTCCCTGGCGTCTGGGCCAGAGGCTCAGAGCCCTGCCTGGTCCTGCCCACCCAGGCCTGCCATCGGTGGTGGTGCAGGCTGCATGTTACACCAGTGTGCCCTGTGTGCACCGTAGACAGTGAAGGTGTGAATGTGTATCACTAAAATCCTGCATATGGCAGTAACATAATCAAGGTGACCGTTTTTCAGCTGAGTGCCTTGAGGAAGAGGTGCCTGTAAAAAATTACACAAAGGCACCAGCCATCTGGGCGAGTGGCCGCCCTCCTCCTGGCCTGGAGGGGCCCCACGGCCCTCCTCACCTTCCTTCTCGCCTCATCGGCGCTGACGGAGACAGAGGCTCCTTCCCAGGTGTCCCGGTCCTCCCAGGATGCCAGCTCCTTTCAGCCCCTTTCAGCCTCTTCTCTGGCCTGCCTCTTGCTTCCTCTTTCTCTTCGTCCCACCTCTGCTGCTGCTGCTGCTCTCTCTTGTCAATTTCTTTCGGCCCCTCTCACTCCCCACCCTTCAGCCAGGATGTGAGCAGCATCGATCTGTGTGCCTTGGTGGGCTCCCAGCCCTGATAACCACGGACAGTCTGGTCGCCCGTGTCCCTGGCTAGGCTGAGCTCCCTGCTGTGGTTTCCCATCTTTCCAGCTCCCCTTCCTCTTTCTCTCCTCCTTCAGGGGTTCTGTCCTGGGCTTCATGCCTGTTGACACTGGCCTTCCCTGTCTCTGAAGCCTTCCCTGTGTCCTGGCTGATGATCATGCTCGGAAGGGAGTGTGCGTGCACATGTGCGTGCATGCGTTGTATGTGCGTGTCGCAGCCTGCTTTTCTCCCTCCCAAATCTCCTACCACCTATCACCATGCCCTCTTCCCTCTTGCTCATCTCTGTTGCAGCCATTTCACGCTCTTTTTTGTCCACATCTGAGGACAAGGTCAGCAGTTGGGTAGAGGGGGAGTGGCGGGGGATTGGGGGTGTTCCTCTCATGTCCTGGGTCAGGGGTCTCACCCAGAGTTGCCCATAACCACTTCTAAGGATCCAGGCAGCTGTTTAGAGCTAAGCAGGCCATCGGCAGGGGAATCTCTCCCCCGTCCTGTGGAAGAAGGAGGAGTTTTTCAGACTCACACACTCTTCTAGTCTTGACTGTCTTGACACATCTGGAGCCAATGGCAGGAAGTCTTCCAAAACCATGCCCAGTGCCCTCTATCCCTTCCACTGTCCTTCTTTTATCAAGCCATGGACAGTAGAACTAGAAAGGCAGCAGAGGCTAATATATATGCGAGCACGTGTGTGTACATGTGTGCACGCTGGTAACAGTACTTGCACCCACATGGGTGAGTGATAGGCAAATGTGCATAACTCATTTCCATAGTCCAATGAGGACTGGCTTCTGTGTGACCCATTGGTTTTGGTTCTAATTCTTTCTCAGCTCTCCTCTTCCCCTATAGAGAACAAGTAGATTTTGTTTATGCAAAGCATTTTTTGGTGTGTGTAAAGCTTTTAAAGTTCATGGTCATGGTCTAGGGGGAACTGTTTCTGAGAAACTACACTTTACGGTGTAAAGTGGATCTGCTGTAGGTATTTCTGGATCTTTTTAGGAGGAGATGGTGCTGTTTGCATCCTCCATTTGCCTGTCAGTGGCTTTTTTCACGGTTGTGAATCTTCTATAGGGAAGACATCCCCAACTGCCCTCAAGGAATTCATGGTCCATTTGGGAAAACCTTTAATGAAAGATATTGAGCCCTGAGTGGTGTGGCTCAGTGGATTGAGTGCTGGTCTGCAAACCAAAGAGTTGCCGGTTTGATTCCCGGTCAGGACACATTCCTGAGTTGCAGGCCAGGTCCCCAGTAGGGGGTGTGCAAGAGACAGCCACACTTTAATGTTTCCCTCCCTCCCTTCCCTTCTCTCTAAAATAAATAAATAAAATCCCGCCCCCCAAAAAAGATGTCGAGGATGGCTGCTGTCCGACCAGAGCTCCGCTCTGCCGCAGACCTGAGTGGGGGCTGGCAGAGGCAGGGCCGCAGGATATGAGACTGTCTTGAGCAGGAAACACTTGAGCTTGAGGGTCGTAAGGGTTGAATAGGGGTCCACAAGTCAAAGGCTCAGGGAGGATGGGAAGGCCGTCACCACTTGTGCAGAAGCTCCCAGGTAGGGCAGGATTGCCTGCCAGGGGAGAGCCGGTTGGTCTGGTCTGGGTCTCGTCCTGCTGCCTGGAATAGGGAGTGCTGGGGAAATCGGGGGGTGGGGGGTGGCAGGGGTCAGGGCTGAGCGGCCGTGGGGTCAGCTCGCCTTGGTCTAGAGGACCCACTGGCAGGGACACCAGGGTTGAGTGCTGCCTTGGGAGGAAGGAAATAGGCAATTTTAGTTAGAGTTGGGAAATTGTTGACTACAGATGTCACAGATGACATCTTGGTAGCATTCACGTGAATCTGTGGGTTGTGGGGGACAGAGCCGTAGTGTGTCATTTGGCCACATTGTTTGATGCCACCTTAATTGAGGATGGTTCCTCTCCAGACTCTGCCTGTAGCAGCTAATGTGACACCGATCATCAGAGTAGCTGGTCTGTGAGGGAGAGGTTTGGCCTGGGGTAGCTGAGAGTGCCATTTGGGATCTCTGAGGACCCCAGGAACAGTGGTCCGTGCTTTTACAAAAACAACGCTCACATAAAGCCAAACACATGATTGTGTTAGGTTGTAAGATAGTACAACTTAAAGGGGGTCACGAGAATACAAACCAAGGAAAAGTAAACACAAATTTCTACAAGTCTTTTGCTTTGGCACTTGGAAGTAATCAATTTGGGTATTCCTATTGACAGCCTGTGCTTGTCTCCCTTATTTCATGAAAATTCTGTCGCCATCAGAAAGGGCTGGGCATTCTGATGCTGCTTCTTGGTTCCATTTCCTTCTGTGCAAATAGCCTGAAGCCAAAACTGAAGCTGCTTCGGTTTCTGAGCTTCTCTTAGAAACAAATCTTCCTTCCCCTATAGCAAATCTCTCCTTTGAACTTCGGAACTGAAGCAGGCTCTTTATGAACGGGTGGTACTGGGCACTTCTCTGCTGGCCTGGGGTTCCTGTAGCCATGGAAGAAAAAAGCAAAAAACCCAGGACATTGGGGTCACAGGGGTGGCCTGGGATCCCGTCCTCAGGAGTCTTTCTTGCCTTTCCCTCCAGGACATAGCCCTGGAGGCTGAACCAAGTTTGTGCTCCCTGCACTGGTCTCTCTGACCTCCTGGGCTGGGGTCAGCGGGGGACCAAACCCTTCTCTATAAAGGGACCCACGTGGAAACCAGTGTAACCCCATGCCTAGCAGGCTTCTGCAGGGGGTACCTGCCTGCTGAGGGGCGCGGACTGAGCTGCGAGAGCAAGGGAGAGTCAGGGTTCTAAAGATTCTGCCTGCCATTTTTTCTAAAGTCAGATCTGGATTCCAGCCTGTTTCCCCTCAGGGGAGCGGCAACCCTGATGGAGTTTGCAGACAGGCCATTGCCTTTTCTAAAGAAAGCCCTTTTTTGTTCTACGATAGCCATGCTTCCTTCCCAAAGGCAGATTTCCTGGATATAATGATGGGTTCTCTGAGTCTGTCTCTCCTGGTGAGACCAGTCTGGGAGGGGCTGGATTGGGAGAGAGGTTGAGTCTTTGTGAAAAGTCCCCAGGAGGCCCCCACGGGAACTCCCCCAGACTTGGTTCCAAAGGAGCCCCTTAGGCCCCAGGCCTCCAGCAGGCTCGGAGGGCGGGGCAAAGTGCCTGAAGCTCATAGGACATGTCCCCTAAACGCCTATAAACGCGGGCATCCCTCAGTCTGCCAGTTTGATAAATGGGCACACAAATCAAAGTTAATGACTCCAGAGCCTGGGATTTCAAGATGATCAGGAGGATTACGAGGCTCAACAGGGGCGTGACGGGATTGCCTGCGGGCGGGGGGGAGAGCCAGTGAGTACTGGCCCAGGTCTCGTCCATGAAACATCACAGCGGCCGTCGCTGTTTGCCTGCGATGAGCCTTACTTACCCGCAGCTTCTTACGTGCTCGGTCAGCACATTGGGCAGGGTCTTTGAGCTACCCCATGTTCTGACATAGATGTCAGCAGAGGAGGGTGTTGTCTCCCCCTGGGTGCCCTGCCCTGGCCTTCAAGGGAAGCGGCCTGAGTAACTTCGGGCAGATTGCCAGCCAGCCTCATGGGGCGTGTCATTCTGATTCCCGTGACCCCGCTCCCTGCGGGGCCCCCCATCTTCTGGGACAGGCTCCTGGAAGGAATTTCCCTCGTTGTCACCTGTTGGGATTCCCCTTATTACCTGTTGTTCCTCCAAAGGAAGGACAGTCAACTGGGAACTCTGTGTGTGAAGCGGCCATGCCATCGCTAGCACAGAGCTGGGCTGGGGGGCAGGGGATAAGGGTGTGACTCCTTCCCTCATTTCCTGTGACCGGAGGACCCTTCGCTCCCCCTCTGGCCATTCCCACAGTTCTGGTGGTGGCCCGCCCATTCTGACACCTCTCCCTGGAGGGCGGAGTCGCTCAGCTTTGAACTGGAAAGGTCATTTGTGATGATCTCATTCTGCCCCTCACACACATCCCAGATCACTCTGCCATGAATCATGTGATTAGGTGGGCCTATGTCCTATTTCAAAAGTTGTGCAAGGAAACAACGTTTACATTTTCTTAGTCATTTCTTTCCCCAATTAGAATCCATTCCTCACTCTCAGGAAGTTCTTCCTTATGTCTGGCCTCAGTCTGCCTTGCTGTAGTGGAAACCCATTTTGCCTTGCTCATCAACCAGTTGTGAGGTCCCATCTTCCTACCCCTTAAGCTTTTTGTCATTCTTTGTCATCAGCAGGGTCCCACTTCTCTGGGGCCATAAGGCACTTCTCTTCTCACAGGCATTCTCTGCTCACCCCAGGCTGTCTTCCTTTCTACTCCAGAGCCCCCAAAAGGCTTTGTGTTCCCCTCCCCCAGAGTTGGCTTAGGGTGTACAAGAGAGCACAGGTGAATTTCAGTCACCTGAGCGAAGTGGATTAGGAGCGCCTGCCCCTGCTGGTGTTAGGGGCACAGTGAACCTCTGTCTGTGTTGCTATGCAGCCAGTCTCCTGGCTGCCGAGCCCCACCTTGGTGGGCCCAGCGCTCAGGGCACAGTGTGTGGTTAGCTTTCCCAGAGGTGCCTGTGCCTACTTTCTGGGCATCCTGTTCATGCTGGGTCCATCCTTGAGTCTTGCCCTTTGTGCAGTAGAGAGTCCCTCCATTTTCTCTAAAATATTTTGAATGTGGGGCCAGGAGTCTTGAGACAGTCTACCGGGGTCCCGGGAGGCCCCATTGCTTCTCAGTCAGCACTTACTCTGGGATGCCCCAGTGTGAATTCCTGCATCTCCAAGGTCCTGGCAAACCCAGCCTGAGATCCTGAGCCTTGGGATCCAGGGCCTCCACCTGGAATTCCAGGTTGGGTGTGAAATCCCCTCACCACCTGACCTGGGCATTTTGAGTCTGTCAGTCATTGGATTAGTTTCTTTCCAACATGTATGCTGAGTCTCAAACTCAGGCCCTTCTCTAGGGGCCTGTCTAGTTCAGCCTCCAAACCCTCTTTTCCAGCATCCCTGACCCATGGGACTGAGCCTGGGCTGACAAAGAGGCGGGACGAGGTGGTAAATTCAAAGCCTCGGGAGCTGCGGGGGTAGAAGGGGGCTTGGTCAGTGTACGTTTGTATCAGGTGCTCCTGCTGCAAGTGGCTGACTGTGACTCTTTGTCTTGTTGCCAGGCGGAGACAGCAGCCAATCGTATCTGCAAGGTGCTGGCCGTCAACCAGGAGAATGAACAGCTCATGGAAGACTACGAGAAGCTGGCCAGTGATGTAGGTACCCCTGGGATCCCCTGGCCCCAGCAGGGACCTGCCACCCCGCCCCAAGATAAAAGGGAGCCCCTGAACCAGTACCTTCAAATCCGTCCCTGGAACAGTCCCAGGCTGGTGCAGTCCCTGATCCCAGGACAGCTGACCCAGGGAAGTGTTGGCTCCACTCTGACCCTCCTGGAAAGCAGAGGGGTGGGTCAAGGACCAGTCTCTGAGCTTCAGAGAGCCAGTTCCTGGCTTTTCTGTCTTAGTGAGCCTGGGAACCCCTCACCTCTCTGGTCTTAGTTATTTCACCTGTCAAGGGAGCCAGGGGGTCTCAGAGGCCTTTCCCGCTTGGTAGATTTACTGGGGGTTTCACTTAAACTAGAAAAGGAGCACGTCTGGTTCTGAGAGGGTGTGAACTGGGGATAGGCAAGTGCTGGCTCAGGTTAGCTTCATGGCTGGGCCCACCCGGGGGACAGGATGGGACAGGGCTGGGTTTGCTGTCCTGCCATTGACCACATGTGGGTTTTACAGGTTCCACTCGCTTCTTCCCTAAAAGAACTCAGTTTTCTGAATAGACCTGCCCCTGCCTCTTGGCAGATCGGCCATCCAGCTTAGTAGGACTCCAAGTTCTGGGGCGCAAGTGCCTGGGTGTGGTCACTGCTCTACCGTTCCAGCTGGGGGACTTTGGCAAGGCACGTGACCTCTCAGGGCCTTGGTTACCTCCTCTGTAACTTGTCGAGGAGGGTGGGGAATCGCAGCTCTGAACCCCACAGGATTCCTGTGACTGCTCAGATGATTTAGTTTGGGAGAAGTGCCTGGCATCTTGCAGGTGATCGATGTATTTCCTATCATCACTTCCCCTGCTCCTCTATCAACTCATCAAGGAAAACAACCCAGGTTACTTCCCACCAGTGCCCCAGAAGCCAGCCACTTTTACATCATTGACCACATTCTAGAACCCTAGACGGTCAGGTGGCAAGGACTTCAGGGGACAACTGTTTGCCCTCTCCCTGATATAGATGAGGAAACTGAGGCCCAGCCGGGTAGTAGACCTTGAACCAGAGCTCAGGTCTCCTGCTCCTAGGCGAGCCCTCTTCCCACCAGGTCTGTGCTGCTTCCCTTGGCCGAGCAGGGAGGCTCTGATGCTGGCTGTCAGTTAACACAGCTTAGTGGCCGGGTTCCATGGACCCCAGGTTCTCAGAGGGGACACCCTGGAACCTGGCCTCGGGGCCTGGGAATGGCCTCGGGCCGGGGAGGGGATAGTTGGGAAAGTGTGCTGTCAGGAAAGACACTTCCCAGCGTCTCCTGTGTGGGAAGGGACTTCAGAGGAGGGGGAAGCCAGCCCTTGCCCCTGCCTCCCAGCAGCCTCACACCCTAACCCCTCACCCCGCAGCTGCTGGAGTGGATCCGCCGCACCATCCCGTGGCTGGAGAACCGCGTGCCTGAGAACACCATGCACGCCATGCAGCAGAAGCTGGAGGACTTCCGTGACTACCGGCGCCTGCACAAGCCGCCCAAGGTGCAGGAGAAGTGCCAGCTGGAGATCAACTTCAACACGCTGCAGACCAAGCTGCGCCTCAGCAACCGGCCTGCCTTCATGCCCTCCGAGGGCAGGATGGTCTCGGTGAGCCCAGTGGGCCAGCCCCGGTCCCCAGCCGAGTCGGCCTCCATCCCTGAGCCGCTCCAGTGCGGCTCCACGGTTGCGCCCGACCTGCATACACCGCTGCAGTCATTGCTCCCTCCAGGGCACCCCCGAGGCTCCAGCCCACGCTCAGCGATGTGGGGCAGCTTCTCTCCCCAGGGAGAGACCCTCCTCGCTCCTGACCATTCTGGGCCAGACTTGCCCTTCCAGACCCCTGAACATCCACCCCAGACTCCTCAGGACCGCCAAAGTCCCCCTGCCCCCCCCTCAAAAATCACCTTGGCAGTCAGATTGCTTCTTGACATGCTGAATCAAAACGGGGCATGATTCAGTGATGATAAAGACAATTTTTACTTCCATGGAATCTTGCTTAAGCACTAAAAAAACCATATATTACCTTAAACAAGTAACAGATTTTGGTGATAGGATATCTGAAAGACACAAATAAACAAAATACAGAAAATAGAAATTACTTATACTCTTTACTACCCAGTGTTAGCTTAAAAAATTTGGGGCAGGGGAGATTCTTTTAGTTTTCTAAATAAATAGAATTTTTAAGGCAATCCTAAAACATGTTTTATGTAATAAACTGCTTTTTAAAAAAAATTAACATGCAATCAGCTTTCCATGTCGTTGTGACATATATGTCACTTTATATGTTGTTTCTCCTTCCTTAACCCTCTTCTCAGGATCAAGGGAGAACTTTTATAAGCCACAGACATGTATAAAAGACACTTTAAAATTCACCAGGATAGAACTTTGCCCTTTAAGACGGAGAGTAATGAGAAGACCTGGGCATAGAAGGCGGGAACGGGGGCGGGGAGAGGGGTCAAACCCGCCGACGGCATTAGGAGGCAGGGTCCCCGGGCTCCCTGGAGGAGAGGGAGAAGGCCCCTGACACTGTGTACGCAGTTGGGAAAACTGCTGTTCTTTTGGGGGTTCCAGGCCAAATCAGCTTTTAGGTGACCAGAGCCACTAGTAGCCAGAGGGTGCTCTGTGCAATTTAGAAAAAGTGCCACCCTTACCCCCTTGGGCAGATGCAGCCTGGCCCCCGGGCACATGGCAGGGACCGAGCTGAGGAGTCATGTGGCACGCAGGCCAGATTCGGCCCACCGCTGCCTAGCCCGGAGCCCTCATGGAGACGGTAGTGGGGGGCCCTGTTGAGCATTCCCTGTCTACAGAGCTGTGGGTCTGTGTCCGGCATGTCGCTATCCTCAGACGCTTTGGCCAGCTCACCCAGGTCAGGGTATCCGCAGACTCCAGGCTGCTTCCCAGAAATCAGGAAATGGGGGGACCTTGGGAGGCTCCCATGCCTTCTTACCTCATCCAGTTCATTGCCCTGTTGCCCTGGCTGGCTGTTCAAGCGCTGTGATGGGTCAGAATCCTGGTGGACGTCAGTCCGGGGCCCAGAGAGGGCCTTAGGCTCTTTCCCCACAGGGCTGCACACCCACAGCCCTAGAGCTGGGTTGTCCATGTGGACTGGGGCCCCCACTCCCTGCCCAGGAGGCCTGGTGCCCAGGCGCCCAGGGAAATACTGATGGAGCTGCGTGGGTACGGCCAGATATGGCCAAGATGGGGAAAGGGCTCCACCTGGGAAGCTTGGAGCAGCTGTGGGGGTCTCGGCGACCAAGTGGGGCTGACCGTGTGCCTTCTACCCGCTCAGGACATCAACAATGCCTGGGGCTGCCTGGAGCAGGCGGAGAAGGGCTATGAGGAGTGGCTGCTAAACGAGATCCGGAGGCTGGAGCGGCTCGACCATCTGGCAGAGAAGTTCCGGCAGAAGGCTTCCATTCATGAGGCCTGGACGGATGGTGAGGCCAGCCCGGCCCCCCGGCTCCCCGAGGGTTTTGACTTTCACGCTCTCCCAACGCGGCCATCAGACACAACTTTCTTCTTTTGCGTTTTGTCTTGTTTTTTCTTACTCATTCTTTGACATTAGGCAGGTTCAGTTAGCCTTTTGGTTGCCTCAGTGTTCTCGTCTGTGAGGTGGGCATAATAATAAAAGGAACAGTCTGATAGGTTTTTGAGAATTAAATGAATTAGTACATGTGAAGCACTGACACAAGTTCCTGGCACAGAACAGCGCTGGGTTCGTTGCTGATTGTCCAGGCCACCGTAATGATACCCCTGAGTCGGTGAGCTTTGGGTTCAAATCCCAACTCGCCACCTAGAGGCCTTGTAAATTTAGTCCAGCGACTTAGCCCCCAGGTTTCCTTTCCTCATCTGTACCCCGCAGGTGATGATTTGTTAGTTTGCTGTAACAAATGAACACAAACAGTGTGACTTAACACAACAGAAATGTATTCTGTCGCAGTTAAGGAGGCCAGGAGTCCTGAGCTGAGTGACGGCAGGGTCGGTCCCCATGCTTGTTCCTGGCTTCTAGGGGTTGCCAGCAGCCCTGGCAATTCCTTGCCTGGTTCCACTCCAGTGTCTGCCTCTGTTGTCACAGGGCTGCTGCTCTCCGTGTCTCGGTGACTGACTTTCCCTCTCCTTTTTCTAATGAAAACACCAGCCATTGGATTCAGGGCTACCCTAATCTGTTAGGACCTCCTCTGAACCAGTTACATCTGTGAAGACCCTATTCCCAAATATGGCCAGATTCTGAGGTCCGGGTGGCCCTGAGTGTTGAGAGGGTGCTATTCAACCCAGTACACCCCCTCTCAGGGTTGTTGTAGGCTTGAGTATTATAAGTACATTTTATGCTTAGCTGAGTGCCCGGCACATGGAACACATCAGGAACTGGTAGTCCTGCGTATTCTTCCTCCATTGCCTTTCTTCTTCCTGCTCCTGACCTCCAGTTGCAGAGAAGCGGAGCCCTTGCCTTAGCACGTGTGTCTTCATTACTTCAATCTGGGGGCACTTGTGGATATACCTTGTGACTGCTTATTGTCAGCTACGGTTAACTCCAAAGACAGAACTAGTCATACCTGGAAGAGTTTTCCTCAGAACCTGGGCTGGAGGTGGAGAGGGGGACAGGGCTGCTCAAATCTTAGGGCCCCACGACCGTGTCAGCTAGAGTCCCGCGTGAGACCCCACTGGCCTCAATGCTCTAAGACTTCCCTGCTCCGCTCTGTTATGCCCTTCACACCGTAGGCTACAGACGAGTAGGGACAGTCACACCCCATGGCCACTTGGTAGTGGCTTGGCTTGGTAGGGGATAGGAATGTGCTGGACTCAGCCGAGAGGAGTGGGTTTAGCTCCCTGTGGTAAGTACATACGCCGGGCTTTGTACACTGTGTGTATAGAGCTATTTATCCTGGTGTAGATGGTGCAGAGTAGAAGGGGTTGGTGGAGGTTGTAATGATTTCACCCACATGCTTCTATCAAGTCGTCTCCGGGGTAAAGGGACGGCTCAGAGCAAGGTACAGAGCAGGGATTGCCCCGTCGGCGTGCCAGCCACCAACGAGGGTGTGAGTAGAGCTGGCGTGCCAGTACAGCCTGCCGGAAGCAACATGACCACGTGGGTTCATACCGAACGATGTGTTGCCCACCAGCCCAGGAGTTTCAGTTCTTGAGACTGTCTGAAGAATTAATCCTAAACCTGGGGGAAATCTAACATCTGTAGATGTGTGGGGTGAGACCACCAACAGTAGAGCAAGCTGAGCGGCCTGCTCGCCCACAGTAGGTGATTCAGCCACTCGATAGGAGGTTATGCAGCTGTAGGCCCCTGTGAAGGCTGGAGCCAAGGTACCAACTGATGATAATGCTGCGGCCTGTTTCCAAAGCAGGAAGCAGAACCTATATATATCCTGTGGTTTTACAACAACATCCATATAAGGAAAGACAGAAAGGAGGAGATAAGTAGGCTCATCTGTAGTTTTTTGTATTGTTGCATTATTATTCTCACTTAAAGAAAAGAGTGGAGGGGAGGGAAGAAGTGCCATGTTGGGCACGGCCCTCCGCCTCGCAGCCCGGCCTTCATTTACCAAGGGGGCTGGGCGTCCATGACGGGCACAGACACGGGCTGGCGGGGAGGCCGGTCAGGCCTTGTCCTGTGCTAGTCACTTCACAAGGCAGCTGGGAACGTCATCTAACAAGTCCTGGGGGGTTCTGTCTCATTGCATTTTTCTCCCGAGAAACAAAAATCCCAGAAATGCAAGCCTGCCTGCCCCCAAAGAGAGAGGGCAGTGTGTTTGATGGTGAGAGAAGGCTCTGGCCGTTGAGTGAATGCAGAGTGCGCAGGACATGCTGGCCACACTGAGAGTAATTGAGAGGGATAGGGTCCCTGCAAGGGCTGCTGGGGGCTGGCAACAATAACTGGAGAGATGGTAAAATACTCCTGAATGCTGGGCTTGTTTTATCCTGGTTATACCACTGGACACAGATTGTTTCCTGCTATTTGTAAGTTAATGTTATGCTCCATACGTTCCTCATAGTCCTGCAGAGCCTTTCTTTGTACATCACCACTTTGGATGCCGCTCCGCCATATAGGCTCGCTCCATGGAGCACACTAACTAACTTTCCTGGCCAGGCCCCCTAGTGGACGTCCTGGGATCTTGCACTGCAGATGACTGATGATTGTACAGTGGGCATCTCCTTGGGGTGTGCCCCTGGAACGACACCTCCTGGGGCCCTGAGGGGTGGGTGGTCAGGTCTAGAAGGTGTCCACCCTCCTCTGTGCCTGGCTTCAGCTCAGTCTTGTACCATCTTTCTGAACTCAGGCAAAGAGACCATGCTGCGGCAGAAGGATTATGAGACGGCCACCCTCTCGGAGATCAAGGCCCTGCTCAAGAAGCACGAAGCCTTTGAGAGCGACCTGGCTGCCCACCAGGACCGCGTGGAGCAGATTGCCGCCATTGCACAGGAGCTCAAGTAAGCATGGCCTGGAGACGGGCCGCGTGGCCCTGATGAGGGACCGGGGGCGGGGGGACGACAGCCTGGTGCCTGGGCAGGGAGGTCGCCGATATGGAAGACTGAGAACATCCCCCAAAGTGGGGAATGAGCCCGTGACCCTTCCTGCCACAGGCCTTCGGTCCTTACCTGTAATGAGAGCAGGACCAGAGAATGGCCAAGTCTTGGCTATGAGTTCTCCCTGCATCTGTGTCCTTGATGTTGTACATCAGGCCAAGACTGGCACTGCGTCCCGCTGAGGTGGGAGTGCGGCACCTTAGGAGGACTGCACTTCTTTGGTCTTCTCCCAGTGGTCTCCTAAAAGCCAAGGAGCTGGAAGGTTGGGAGGGGCGCCTGGAAGGTCTCGGTGAGGCGGGTACACCTGGCCTTCCAACGCCACCAGTGCCTCCCAGTCTCAGGAAGAGGAGCGTAGGCCTGGGTCACCTGACTCTTCCTATCTCTTCCCTCCCAGTGAGCTGGATTATTACGACTCGCCCAGTGTCAACGCCAGGTGCCAAAAGATCTGTGACCAGTGGGACAATCTAGGGGCCCTGACCCAGAAGCGGAGGGAAGCCCTTGAGGTGAGGGCCTCGAGGGAGGTGGCGGCTGGCCTCCAGCTGCTCTGTGTGCCCCTTCCTGCTTTGTGACTCCCTTTGCTTTGGGCTAAGAGGCTCCACGGGAAGCCCAGAGCTCTCCCAGCCATGGTCTGAGTGTGGAAGGCTCACGGTGGCACTGGATTTGGGCTTTGTTCTGTGGAGACGGTTCTTTTCTTGCCCTAACCATGTCTCATCCCCCTGGTTCAGCGCACTTAGTCCAACTCCAGCCTTTTGAGAACTTTGCTATTCTACAAACCAGGCTCTGGGGGCCAGGCCGGGTGATCCTAAAGTGGGGTGGCCTGGACACTCCGTAAAAACCAGCGCCCCAAAGGCAGCGTCTTCTTTCTGCCTGAGTTAGGCTGGTACTTAAATACCTGGACCACTTGGGGCTGGCGCGGCGGTCCTTGTGGGGCGAGGAGGGATGATGGATATGACTGCGAAACATGTCCCCACCCCACCCCATTCGGCACTCCCAGCGGACAGAGAAACTGCTGGAAACCATTGACCAGCTGTACTTGGAGTACGCCAAGCGGGCTGCACCCTTCAACAACTGGATGGAGGGAGCCATGGAGGACCTGCAGGACACCTTCATCGTGCACACCATCGAGGAGATCCAGGTACATTGCAGCCCCTGCACCTCCGGGGACTGGTCCCCCAGCCACCCGTGGCCCACACCCTGCCAGCCCCTCTCCCGTGGGGCTGCCCCTGAGAGAGAGGGCTAGGGACAGCATCCCAAGGATTTCACAGATTCAAAGGCTTTGCATTTTGTTTATTTTGATTAGGTAACGTAGGCACATGGCATAAGAGATAAAACAGATAGGCAGTAAGTTCTAGGTCCTGTCCCCTGTCCCCCAGCCGCAGAGGAAAGCTATATGGCCCCTTGGTCTCTGCTTATGTGAGCAAATATATTTATTAACACGTTCTCCTTCACACCCTTTTTTTACACAAAAAGTAGCTTTTATAATATACTGTATTTTAACCCATTATTTTTTAATGTAACAGTTACCTTGGAACTTGTTTCCTGTCCATGAACAGCTTCATTATTCCTTTATACAGCTGCAGAGGGTTAGATTGGAAGGGTTTTTGCAAAGCGCTGAGGAGGCTATGTCAGGGGAGGTCACCAGGGAACAGGCTTGGGGCACCCCTCGTCCCTGACCTGACTGGGGTTGTGAGCGCCCCGGGGTTGCTGCTGACTTCACCAGCCCCGAGCATGCAGCTGTGGCTTTGATGGCTCTGCCGTCACCTTCCCTGGCCAGCCCTGCCTCTTGGTTCTGAGCCATGAGAATCCTTGGTTGATGCCTCCAGGCCTCATGTCTGTTCTGGGATCTGCAGGGCTGTCTTTGCTCATCTTGCCCACGGGAGACCCCAGCCCCTAAGGCCATCGCTCTTGTCCTGCCTCCCCATCTCTGTCTAGGGACTGACCACCGCCCACGAGCAGTTCAAGGCCACCCTCCCTGATGCCGACAAGGAGCGCCTCGCCATCCTGGGCATCCACAACGAGGTGTCTAAGATTGTCCAGACCTATCACGTCAACATGGCGGGCACCAACCCCTACACAACCATCACACCTCAGGAGATCAATGGCAAATGGGACCACGTGAGTCCAAGGGTTGGATGGGGCATTGTTCGAGCTATTGCAAGTTTCATAAAGGGAGGGATTTATGTCTTTTCTGGTTGATTTTTTTATATTGATTTTAGTTTTTTTGGTGTTTTTTTTTGTTTTTGTTTTTTTTTGTATTGTCACATAGCCAAAACTCTGTCAAGTTAACGAATGAGTGAATTTCTACAGCAGGTCGACGTCTGTACACCTGCTCTGTTACTGACTGGCCCCCTCCCTTGAGTCCTCCTTTTCATCTGAAATATGGGGCAGATCGGTGGCCCATCCCCAATGTCCCATGGTTGTTCCTGCCCCAGGTGCGACAGCTGGTGCCTCGGAGGGACCAGGCCCTGACGGAGGAGCATGCCCGCCAGCAGCACAATGAGAGGCTACGCAAGCAGTTCGGGGCACAAGCCAACGTCATCGGGCCCTGGATCCAGACCAAGATGGAGGTGGGTCCCATTGTGGGAGGCAAGAATGAGGCTTCTCCGCCTTCCCAGCACCATCTCAGCCAGAAAGGCTTGACTTACGTCCTCCCAGGCGGGACCTGTGGCAGACTGTCTGTCCTGAGCCTGTGACTGTTCTGCTGCCCTACTAAGGGTGCAGAGCTCATGTAAGGAAGCCTGAAGGCTGATCCCAGTGTCTGGCTTGGGAGCAGAGACTCACACAGGGACACTACTAAGGAATCGCATGGGAAGGTCCCACACCAGCGCCTGAGTGGCTTGGCTTACCCTTAAGCTTATCTGGCTGACCAGGTCTTCAGTATCACTTCTGCTAAGCAGTGAGCATGGTCAAAGAAGGTGATGTCCCCAGAGAGAGAACTCACCCCCGGGCAAGCATGGAACTTTTTGCTGAATTGTGTGGGCCAGATCGTGGGGTGCTGTAGGTCAAGGAAGGGATACCTCTTGGGTTAGAGCATGGTGTCCCTCTGAGTTCCCTAAGGGAGAGCCCCGGTGGAGTTCATGCTAATGTCTCCCCTGCACCCCACCTCCACCTGCTTAGCACACTGTATGCCGGAGGTCCTCAGGAAATATTTGCTGGATTGATTTGAGTGCACAGAGAGTGTCTCAGAAATGAGATTTGTTTACATGGATGAAGGACTGACAGAAACGGGGATTAGGCCTGGCCCATGGAGACGGGTGATGCTGTGGTGGGCCAAGGTGGGCATCCTAGGAGCAGGCCACGAGGGGCGCGGCCACGAGGAGGTAAGCCAGGTGCACTGAGGCTGTGAGCACCTGGCTCAGTGGGCACAGCAAGGGTCCCTGAGATGAGCGATGGTCGGGAATAAGGCTTGGGGAAGGGAGCTTGAATAGCAAGCCACGGTTAGGTTAGCACAGCTGCCCGTGAATCCCGTTCCTGAAGCTGCCAGGTCACCGAGAGATGGTGAGGAGAGGGTGTGATGATTCATCCAGCGATAGCAGTGCCTATCCTACCTTGGTGATGCTAGTTCCATACCAAGGAGCACTCATGCTGAGTGTGTCTAGCTCCAGGCTTACTAATTACCCCTGACGGGCTCCCAGGTGCTGGGGTGGGGCCCGGGAATCATCTGAGGGTGTGACCAAGGACGTGGGAGCCCCAGTCTCCACCCCAGGGGCATAGAGGGGGTTCGTCTGACAAGAGCCTTCTTCCGGGCTGAGCAGGAGATCGGGAGGATCTCCATTGAGATGCACGGGACCCTGGAGGACCAGCTCAACCACCTGCGACAGTACGAGAAGAGCATCGTCAACTACAAGCCTAAGATTGACCAGCTGGAGGGCGACCACCAGCTCATCCAAGAGGCGCTCATCTTTGACAACAAGCACACCAACTACACCATGGAGGTGGGCGCCTTGGCCGTGCTTCTCTGGGGAGGAAGCCACGGGTGCCCTGCTGTTCCCCCTTCCTGGGCTGGGGCAGGAGGAGGCCATCATCTTCCAAGGAAACTGGCCACACTTGGGTCACCTGCCACTTTGGAGTGAGGGAGTACGCACTTCTCACCCCAGGAGCTCTGGGCCTTCAATCCTCCACGCCCTCTGAATTTCCCAAGGAGCTTGTTGACGTACAGATTTCTAGGCTCTGCCTCCAGAATCCACTAGGTCTGCGGTGGTGCTCAGGAATCCATATTTTTACCAAGTGCACCCCACTGGTTCCGATGCTGGTGGTCTCCAGGCACTGCCTTAGGCACCTGCATTCTCAGCGACTGCTTGTTTTGACCCTGAGGGTGTGTGTGTATGGCTCTGGAGTTGGATATTCAAAGAGTTACCCAATTTTTTTATCCTTTAGTTTTTCCCGCTACCAAATTTTCCTTCCTTCCTATCTCCACCCACACTGGCCGTTATGGCCTCCGCTGCCCCGGGCTGAGGCCTCCACCCTGCCTGCCCTTCCCCCTTCATCCTCTGGGTCCTCTGTCCTGGTGTCTTGTTATGGTCCCCCGTCTCTGTTGACATTGTGGGTCCACACAGAAGGCCGGGTGTGATTGCTTGGACCATTTTGATGGTCGGGGGAGGGCGTGGGCAGGGGCAGCCAGGGCCCCTCTGCTGACAGGCCCCTCGCCCACATCCAGCACATACGCGTGGGCTGGGAGCAGCTCCTGACCACCATCGCCAGGACCATCAATGAGGTGGAGAACCAGATCCTGACTCGGGACGCCAAGGGCATCAGCCAGGAGCAGATGAACGAGTTCCGGGCCTCCTTTAACCACTTTGACCGGGTGAGAGACCCACCCCCTGCACTTGCTTAGAGCAGCCCCCAGCCCCTGCCCCAGGGCCCTGGAGGGCACGGTCCTAGGTGTGGGCAGCCTAGGCAGGTGAGTTCCTGGGCAGGTGAGGAGAGGAGGAAGGAGAGGGAGGGACTGCCAGCAGCCTGCTCTGACTCTGCATCACACGACGCCTGCCTTAGAAAGCCAGTCCTGGTGTCCCATGAGCCTCTCTGCTTTCCTGGAGAGACAGCTCATATTGTGGGCGGGGAAAGGACCCTTGACCCCTGCCCTTTGCTCTCTTACCATGCATCATCAGCCCTTGGGAGCAAGGTTACCGTAGCGAGTGAAGGCCGTTGCCTCTGCCTCAGGATAGAGGAGTGGAGGCTCCCTCCTACCCGCATCCCCCATATTGTTTGGGACTCTGGGGATGTCAGAGTTCTCAGTCCCGGGTTCTCATTCCGGCTCTGGGACAGGCTGGGTTTTCCGCGGGTGCCCCTCCCAGTGCCCTGGGGCTTCGGGTGACCACATGGGGTGGGAGGGAGCATGGGGTCAGGTGCTGCCCACCAGTCTGCCTGCTTCACTGCCCTCTCAGCCTCTGGCTGGGTGAAGCCCTCCTGGAAGCTGGGGCGGGGCATCGGGCTGGAGGTGGGCTGGGCACTTCTGGGGGCTTCTCACCCCCATGGCTCATTGTGCTCCCTTTGGCCTGCTTCCCGGAGCAGGGCTGCGTGTGCCGGGGACAGGGCACCCTCGGGGCCTCGTCCATGTGTCTAACCATGTGCACTTTTATTTCCCCTCCTCCCCCACCCCGTCCACCCTCCACCCTCTCCATGTGCATGCCTTTGTTTCTGTGTCTCCCCTCACACGCCACCCTCCGCCCGGGGCATGGCCCACCCCCTCCCCCTCACGGCCTCCACCTCCCTGGCACCGCATGGCTCGCTGCCTGACGCACGGCGGCCCCAGGATCACTCCGGCACGCTGGGTCCCGAGGAGTTCAAAGCCTGCCTCATCAGCTTGGGTTATGATATTGGCAACGACCCCCAGGTACTCGCCTCCTGCATGGAGCACACTCAGGGGTGGCATCTGGGGCAAGAAATAATGAGTATTTCTCCTTTTTCTCTTCTCTGTCTGTCTGGATCTCCCTGTCCCCCTTCCTGTGGGCCGTGGGCTCGTCCTCTCCTGCTGTCTCTGCCTGGCCGGTGTTGGGCTCCTCCTCCCACCACTCCGACCTCTGACTCCGCTGTCGGTTGTCTATCGTGGGAACCTGCTCGGTGCCCGCCTTCCTCTCTCCTCGCCGTTCTTCATCCTGTGGACGGATTTTTGCATCTCCCTGCTCTGTCTCTCTCCATCCTGTGGACATCTTCCTGGATGTGTATTTACATCCCCCTCCTCCTCTGTTCCTCTCCCCTTCCTGACCCCGAAACCATACACCTCCTCCTCCCCTCCGGCCACCTGTGCCCTGTCTTCCTGGCCCTGGGCCGGCCCTTCCTCCTCCTTGTGTCTTGGTGCCACTGCGCCCACAGAAGAAGACAGGCATGATGGACACGGATGATTTCCGAGCCTGCCTTATCTCCATGGGTTACAACATGGTAATGTAAACCCCACTGTCTGCCCTGGCGAGGGGCAGCCGGCAGGCCGCAGAGGCCAAGCCCTAGCTGTGGCGGTCTGGATGCCCTCAGGCGAGGGGCTGCCCTCCCCAGAGGGGGCTCAAGGTTCTGGTCCTTGGGGCAGACAAGCCCTGAAGGCAGGGCCCAGCTGCAGAGCCTGTGTGTGTCCTGGAGGTCAGGCCGTCCCACCCCAGTCTGTGCCGGTTTATCTTCTGGTACTTACTGTGGAGATGGACTTTCTCACTCCCATCGTGGACGGCTGGGTGGACCCCAAGGCTAGCAGGAAGGACTGGTGGTTTGGACATTCTGGGCTTGGATTGGCTCTCTTCCTCCCGGACAAGGTGTGGAGAGTTCTACCATTTCCCAGGCGAGGGCTTCAGCCAAGCCTGCTGCCCCTCTGCCCTTGCCCCAGGCTCCTCTCAGCCTACTCAGGGGCCTTACTTAGCTGGGCAGCCAGGTGACCCCTGGGCCAGGGGGCAAAGTGCAGAGCCCTTGGGCTGCCGAGGGGCCAGAGCACAGGCTAGGGGCCGGGAATGAACCCAGGAGTAAATCCGGCTCCACCCTCAGCAGCTTGGGGGCCCTGCACGACTGTGGCAGGGGTTAAACGAAGGAACTTACGTGAGTGCTGTGCATTTGTGGGGCACCCAGAAAGTTCAGCACGGTGGGGAGGGCACAGGTTGTGGAGCCAGACTGCCCTTGTGTGACCTTGGGCAAGTAAGTCACTCAGCCTGTCTGGGCCTCAGGGTTCTCATCTGGAGACCTGATGGGAATAAATGCCTCCCGGATCGGGTTGTGGGGAGGGCTCAGTGAATTAAAATATACGCAGCACTTAGAGTAGTGCCTGGTTTACAATATATACTTGCGTGGGTGTTAGCTGCTGCTGTTGTCGTTATCACCATTATTAGTATCATGGTAATGTGCTTCAAGGGGGAGCCCAGGCATTTGTAGGGGATGGGAAGCCCTGAGCGGGGTCTTTGCCATTGGGTGCTGGGTCCCTGTGACACCCTCAGGGCAACCCAGGTTCGGTCAGGGCTGCTGCGCCCACCTCTACCGGTCACACCCGGGGAGTCGGGTCCCTTTAGAGTCTCAGCAGGCTGTGGCTCAGAGGATGACAGGCCTGGGGGCGGCTCTTCTCTCCAGGGAGAGGCAGAATTTGCCCGGATCATGAGCATTGTGGACCCCAACCGCCTGGGGGTAGTGACATTCCAGGCCTTCATCGACTTTATGTCCCGGGAGACGGCCGACACAGATACAGCAGACCAAGTCATGGCTTCCTTCAAGATCCTGGCTGGCGACAAGGTGTGTTTGCTGGGATGTCCGAGTGGCGCCGGGCGGCAGGCACTGGCTGGGCCCTGCTCTGCAGGGAAGCTCGGGAGCGCCTCCCTGGCCCGTTCGCACAGGGCCCTCTTCCGTGGGTGTGTATGGAGGTATGCGGGATATGCCAGGGTGTATCCAGAAGGAGGGAAGGGGCTGGATGAGGGCAGCCGGGGGCACCGTGAGGCTCGTAGCTGCTGCGCTTTGCGGCCGCCCTGATGGCGCTCTCTCCGCAGAACTACATCACGGTGGACGAGCTGCGCCGGGAGCTGCCACCGGACCAGGCCGAGTACTGCATCGCGCGAATGGCCCCCTACACGGGCCCCGACGCCGTGCCTGGTGCTCTGGACTACATGTCCTTCTCCACGGCGCTCTACGGCGAGAGTGACCTCTAACCCGCCCCCGCGGGTCCAGCACCCCCGCCCCCCACCCCGCACCTGCAAGTACCCCCTGCTCCTCCGCTGCCCGCCCCACCCCCACCACCCCGTGAGCTGGGACCCACGTGGCATCCAGTTCCCCCCGCCCGCCAAGTGACAGTTTACAAAGTTATTTTCTGCAAAAAAGAAAAAAAAGTTACGTTAAAAAAAGTTAAAAAACCAAAAAACCGCATATTTTATTATAGAAAAAGTATTTTTTTCTCCACCAGACTTAAATGGAAAAGAGGAAAAATTAACTATTTGCACCAAAATGTTTTGTTTTGTTGTGGACATAGGAAAATAACCAAGCACAATGTTATACTCCATCCTTTTTATCAATTTTTTTTTTCTCTCTGTTCCATCTGCTGTATTCATTTCTCCAATCTCATGTCCACCTTGGTGTGGGAAGGGGTGGGGGGTAGGGGATGATCTTGTCAAAAGGCACATTGGTGCATGTGTGTTTGCTAGCTCACTTGTCCATGAAAATATTTTATGATATTAAAGAAAATCTTTTGAAATGGTTGTTTTTTAAGGAAGAGAATTTATGTGGCTTGTCTCATTTTTAAGTCCAAAAGTGCGATTGGCCTCTTCATCAGAGCACACTTTTTTTTTTTAATTTTAATATTGCCTATTAAAAGTGGTCAGGACAAAATTGGAGTGTGGACAGCTTTGATGTTGCCTGGCATGGCCCATGGGAGAGCAGCAACTGTTGGTGGCCCCCGGCTCGCCCCTGGCAGAAGTGGGGGCGGGGTTCAAGGGCAACGCGGTGCTCCTGTACACGCCCCTAACGTGTTGGTGGCCCTGGTGCATTCCACCTCCTGGCACTTGAGCTTCTTCCTTCGTTTTCCACAACGTCAAGCAGCTCTGCGACGTCTGTATGCCCCCCATTTCTTCTTTTCTCGTCACAGAGAAGAAATGGAGCTGCCTCAGCGAGGCTCACCTCACCCCTTTGCTACCCAAGATGCCCCGCAGACAGCAGCGTCAGAGTCACCTGGGAGCTTGTTGGAAATGCAGACTCTCGGACTCCACCCCAGACCTCCTGAATCAGAATCTGCATTTTGAACAGAATCCCAGGGCACCTGGGTGCGCTGGCTCTGGCTGTTCCTGTTTGTCCTCCGTACCTGTCTCGTTCCCAAAGCTGTCGATGATGATGATGATAGCCGTGCTGTGGGTTGCAGAAATGTAAGTTAGCAACAGAAGCCGTAGATCTGTGTTCCAGTTATGGCTGTGTCCAGGAGCTTAATCAGTTTAGTGTAGTGGTTACAGGGAGTTGGGTCTGTGGAGTGTGCCAGGGTCCAAATCCATGACTGCTGTTTCCAGCGTGGGTGAGCTGCGCTGCCGTTCTCTTAGGTATTACGTGGGGCTAACAGCTTTTAAAAGAATTTACTTATTTATAGAGAGAGGACGGGAGGTAGAAAGAGAGGGAGAGGAAAACTTTGATCAGTTGCTTCCTGCATGTGCCCCAACCAGGGACGCAGCCCAGGCGTGTGCCCTGACTGGGAATTGAACCGGCAACCTTTTGCTTTTCAGGGTGATGCCCAAACAACTGAGCCACACCAACCAGGGCTGTGGTCAGTCTTAAGTTTTGAGGGGTTCAGTTGAATCTCTTAAAAGAGAACCCTTAATGTGATCTGTCCCTTCATTGAGGGGGATGGAAACTAAGTCAGGATCCGCTGACCTGGGGCCGACGATGACAGATGACAGTCTTGGGTGCGAGGCCTTCTGGGTTAGGAATTAGTCTAGTCAGTTTCTGGAACACCCACTGCCCTGGGAAAGAGGGTCAAGACGAGGGGGCTGCTCAGGAGAAGGGGCATGGAGAGAGGTGCTGGCATTTGCTTTTGGGAAGTAGACCTATAGGTTTTCCCTCTGGGAGGTAAGAAGTCTAGTAAGGGCCCCGCAGTGGGCCTGCGGTGGCTGCAAGCCCTGGGGGAACGTCCGGTCCGGGCCAGAGCCTGCCCTCAGGTCAAAGTCTTTAGGAAGAGGTCAGTGCACAGACAAGTTGTTTTAGCTATTTACATGCAAGTCTAACCAAGGACACAGTGTTACAGGAGGTGAGGAGAGGGGGAAGTTGTTCCAGCCAGAAAGTTTCCTAATGCCAGGGGCAAGCTCTTTGACATGCTTCAGTTTCCAGAGGTGTGATCAATCAGCCTTCCTTAGTGCTCACTTAAAAAGAATGTTTCAGTTATTTCAATGAAAATGGGTTTACTGCCCTGGCTGGTGTGGCTTGGTGGATTGAGTGCCGGGTGAGGTTAACTGAAGGGTCACGTGTTAGATCCCCAATCAGGGCGCATGCCTGGGCTGCAGGCCAGGTATCCAGCTGGGTGTGTGTGAGGGGCAACTGATGGATGTTTCTCACCCTCTCTCCCTACTTACCCCCACCTCTCCCAAAAAAACCTTAAGAAAAAATGGGTCTACCAAGTTATTCTATTTACAACTCTCAGAGAAATGCCCTTGTTTGAGTTTCTCAGTGTTCAAGGGTGTTTATATGTGTGCAAACGACTATAATTATTTTAAGTACATTTTCAATCTGTTAAAGAGGTAAAAACTTAAAAATTTATTTCTAAAGCTTTTAAGGTCATCATGCACATTTTGTTATATTAATAATGTATTTTTTTCTGTAAAAATAACTCTTGCTTGTCCTAATCATTCATATATTCAACAGATTACATTCCCCCAATTAACACAATTTGCAAACATCATTAAATTCCTTTAAATATTTTAAACATATTTCCAAGTTTCAATAATTCTTCCTTCCTAGGACATCAGACCTCCCAACGCAAGCAAGATTCACATCCAAACATCAGCGTCTTGCTCAGCACAAGGGAATTGAAATAGAATAAATGTAGAATATCAAGTTCTCCGGAGCAGTTCAAAGCTTTTCAAAGTTTCCTGACAATTCTCCAATGCCTCCAAAATTAGAATTGCAGTCTAATTTCAATTACACATTTCAGAGGAAAACCACAAAGTTAATAGTACACACCAGGTTCTCTTAGGTGTTTGAGCACCCTAAATTAACCCACAGGTTGTCAGGATTTGTACAAAACTGCTGAACACAGCGAAGTATTAATGCTAAGAGTTTAAAATACTTCATTTGTTTACTTCTCTACAGGCTATTTTAAGCCCCCTTACTACCTGTTGCTGGTTTTGGGGTCACAGGTTCAGAATCATGATGCACTGTCGCATCACTTGCGAATCAAAACCAGGGCACGGGCAAGTCATGACGTTGACTCTGACAGACAGTGTCTGCTCTGTCACCTGAGCCCATGCCTTTTGTCTGGTGTTTGTTTTGCAACCCATTGCATCACTCACCCCCTGGGAATCTTTTGGATTTTGCCCTTTGCCAATTTTCATCGTAAACAACTCCAATGCACTTTAGAAATGGTTGGGTGGATAGAATTCTCTACCCCAACCCAGGCGGCAGTTTATTGTTCCTGCATCCAAGGGATGAATTCATTGCATCTCTTTCCTGCCTGTGTGGAGCATGCGTGCCTTTTGTGTTTTTAACTGCCTCTGCCCAGATGTTTATAGGGACTTTGCTGACAGCCTTGTGAAGGCCACCTACAAAAATGGCTCCTCTGGCCTGTCAGCCTCTTAGCAAGATCCTAACGACCGTCCCAAGTGCTCGGCCTGTCTTCAGGAGCGTGCTCTGTCCATCACTGGGCCTAAAGAGCGCAGTCACTAGGCTGAGTTACTGGGCTTGAACAGGTTGGGATGATGTGAGGCCACAAGACAAGAATGCAGGCAGCCTCTAGGAGCTGGAAAAGGCAAGGAAACGAACGCTTCTCCCCTGGAGCCTTGCGAAGGAACCTAGCCCTGCAGACCCGTTTGGGCTCTCTGGCCTCCAGAACAAGAAGATAATAAATCGGTGTTGTTTCACGCCGCTGCCTCTGGTCATTTCATTTGTTACGCAACGCGGGCCCCGTCGTCCAGGCTTCTGGCCAGCCTGGCTGCCCTGACATCAGTGCCCCATGTTAACAGGCTTCGGAGAACCACCCAGCGTCAAGGCCTGAGCTTGCCATGCTGGTCCTTGGGAAGCTACCTCAGAGCCCCTCACCCTAAAAACGCTAGTCCACCGTGGCGGTGGGGGTAGATGCTACAAAGCTCTGAACCCCCGAAAGGACTCAGCAGAAGGTGGGTGGGCTGGTTAGTGGCCCTGGGCTGTGGCGCTGAAGGCTGTGAGCTAGTCCCTGAATGGAGTGGATGGTCTCACATGGAGAAGGTCCTCAAGGTCACAGGATGCCCCCTCATTCCCAGACTAGGCCAAACTTAGGGGGACAGAATAGAGGTACCTAAATAGTAGCGCTGCCACCCAAAACCCTGATGGGCCCCATCTCTGGGCAGTGCCCTGGAGATAACACAGGACAGGTGCCTGGCAAACGGCGAGGTCAGAGCTGGACGCGCACACTGAGGCCCGGAGGCCCCAGGTTTACAGGATGCTGCCTGAGGGTCCTTCGGCTATGCCACAGCTGCTAAAGCCACTTTGTGATCACCGAGGCTTTCGAAGTCCCGAGTGTGGTGGGAACACCCTTGTCTGCAATGCAGATGAGACCTGAGCAAACAGCTTCTGGGGCGGCAGAGGGACCCTTTGCCAGGAACGCAGACTGACTAGCCAGCTCACGGACAAAGCAGAGAGAAGGTTTCGGGGTGCCACAGAACGGGAGCTAGATGGCAGCCCAGCTTCAGGCGGGGACGGGCTACGGAACCCAGAAGCCCCTTGGGAAGCTGAGAGCCTGTGTTCTCTCCACCTTATCTCAGCCGCTCCCTGCATGGCGTGTTCACTCCTCTCCTGGGCCCAGCTTCCTCTGCTCATGCTCGCCTGGTGGGGGAGGCCTAGCCCACAGCGCCCCTGCGTTTACACTGCCTCTACACAAGAGGCCAGTCTCAACGCCAAGTCTGCAGGAGCCACTAGGGCCAGTCTGGCCTTGTCTGACACGGTGAGGCCTGGCCGCGGGTGAGGCTGAGGCCATTGCTCGGGGTTTAGGTGGGACAGGAAACCCAAAAGGTGGCCTTAGAAAGTCTACCTCAATTTACCAATTTCTACATCTCTGAGATTGGGATGCAGTTCACAACCAATCTCCATAAAATTAACCATGCTGGCCCTGGCTGGGTAGTTCAGTTAGAGAATCGTCTTGATACACCAAGGTTGTGGGTTTGATCCTGGCCAGGGCACGTACCAGAATAAGTAGAATCGATGTCTGTCTGTCTCTCCCTCCCTCCCTCCCTCTCTCAAATCAAGGTGAATAAATTAACATAAAATAATTTAAAATAGAATTAACAATGTCCTACTATTACTGCTGGTCAGGTGGCAGTCATGATTTAATGTCATTGCCTGACCGTTTGATATGGGAACAGGAGTCCTGGTTTTGTCTCGGACTTCTGCTGGCTGCAGACCCATCCCTGCTGCTGCCTTGAGAAACAGCAGCTGTGCAGGGAGGGGCTGCTGCCTCCACGTTTCTTCTTGAGCAGCCAGCAGCTGGCAGGGTGGGAAGAGGCACCTGTGGGGAGAGTGGGGAGACCTGGTGGCCAGACACGTGGCACTCAGAGAACTGTTGCTGGTCACCTGTGGGAGGGCCCAGGTTTAGAAACAAAATTCTCATTTTATATAATTCCTGGCGATGGGAAAACAAGGTTCCTTATGTAAAACCTCTTTATAGTTTTTATTTGAGAATGCATCTATTCATGAAGGACTGTCTGGAGGAAGGTGGATGGAAATGAAATCCTGGGACAAAGCAACTAACCCAGAGTCCAGTAAGCCCCTGTTAAATCTTCCACTTCCCCCTCACCACTAGCAGAAAACACTGCTTTTGAGAAAAACTGGTCTTAAAATGAGCTAGGTGGATGCTGCCCTCCAGTGGCCAAAAGTGTCCTAACAGCGTTTCACAGAGGAGCAGGGAGCAAAACCATAGCCCTCAATCCTGCCGGCTTCCGTTTGCCCTGTTCCCAACTGGTCCAGCTGGGTTGCCCCTGGGATAGTGAGAAGCCTTGATCTGTGTCACAGAGGGACAGCAGAAGCAACCGGGCACGTTTAGCAGGAGCAGAGCAATGGCTGACATTTGTTGAGCCCTTACTTCGTGCTGGTCCTTGGTGCTGCAAGGGGACCTCTGCAATGTCTGACAAGGGGCGCAGAGTGAGTGCAGGATAGTAAGTGTCCCATCTGCCATGCACAGGCTTGGGGAAGGGCTTGTCGGACCTACAGAGCAGCTGCCCCTGGTATCACTAGGGTAGCGTCGGTCCTAGGATCCGGGGCAGCTGATCCCTGGGAAAGGCCCTGCAGGGAAGACGAGACGCTGTAACAGGTGGTTTGGGAGCCAAGTCCCGGTCACTGTGGGGCTGCTTTTCAGGGGAGCCCATGGGGTGCTAATAAATCAGGACACCTCCTCCACTGGGCAGAGACACTGTGCAGGTAAGTCCAGTGTTCTTTTTTTAAAAATTTAATCTTTATTGTATTTTTTTCCATTACCATTTAGTCCCCTTACAACCCGCTCCCCCGAGCACTCACCACACTGTTGTCCACGCCCAAGAGTCCTTTTTCCTTGTTGCTCAATCCCTCCACCCCCTAACCGCCCCTGCCCACTCCCTACAAGTCCAGTGTCTTTATGGGGCAAGGAACCAGAGCAGCAGGAAAACTCTGAGGCAGACTGGGACGGGGAAGCCAGTTTTCTCACAACTGCTGCTCTTGCGCCCAGTTGAAGTTCTAGCCAGCCCTGCGGCTGAGTAAGGGCACCAAAGGGAGATGGGAACGCCCTCTGGAGCAGTGGCCACAGGCCTGATGGTTTCCCAGGCGCCAGGTCTTGAGGGGGCTTCCGCTGAGACCCTCAGTAATTTGGGCAGAAAACAGAGCTCATGAGTCCTCCAATCCTGCTTTGTGGAACAAGTGCTGTGGAGGGGAGGCTTTGGCTCTCTTGGGCCCTGAGGGTGAGAGAACAACGTACCCTCCACTAGCCTGTCCACCCCAGCCTAGAGGTCAGGCCCTCCAGCCTGAAGCGGCCTAGGTGTTCCTGTGAGTTGTGTGTGAAGGGGAGAGGGGCCTTGGCATGGACAGCCCACTGCTGTGGAAGGATGGAGCTGGGAGGATGAACAGTGTAATTCCAGCTTGTGCTCAACATGTGCCAAACTGTGCGCTTTACCTGCGCCTAAGCGCTGGGAGCCAAGGATAAACTCTGCTACCCACAGGGCAAGGGGCTGGGGCTGGGGACAGACCCAGCTGCTCTTGCACAGACAGTGGGTCCCTGTGCAGGAGGCTTGCCTGCACTGTGATCCTTGCTTTGCTTCCAAAAACCAACAGGCCCTGGCTGGTGTGGCTCAGTGGATTGAGTGCCGGCCTGCTAACTGAACGGTTGCCGGTTTGATTCCTGGTCAGGGCACATACCTGAGTTTTAGGCCAGGTCCCCAGTTGGGGGCCTGTGAGAAGGAACTTACTGATGTTTCTCTCCCTCTCTTCCCCCTTCCCTTCCCCTCTTTGAAAATAAATAAATAAATAAATACATAAATACATAAATAAATACATAAATAAAATCTTAAAAAGAAAAGCAAAACCAGCATTGCCCTCCCACTTCTCCTTCCCCAGGGCAGGAGGGCTCCCCTAACTGCCCACCCCCATGACTACTTTCTTTAGTGTCTGCCCCCCCTCACAACTTCCACTTTTCACCATTTTGTATTATCCGATTT